GGGCATCTTTCTAATTTCTTTTTTTTAAAAAAAAAAAAAAAAAAAAAAAAAAAAAAACGTTTACTAATAAAGAGATAAATCAAACATAAAAAGAAGGAAGATCAGGACAACTCCGCATACACGAGATGAAAGGAAAAACTCAAATATTTATCCTCCCACAAATCAACAAAACTCTTATTCCTTCCTAACCATAACATCCAAGGCAAAACAAAACACCAATGTTCCTATATAATCTTTCCTTCTTGGAATGCAGCTCAGAAAAGAAAATCGAAAGGAGAAAACATCAAGAATTATTTTTCTCCAGGAATCACCCCCTGAATCTGTATCTCCATTCCACATTTAATTAATAATTTTGAAGCCATCAACGCACAAGAATGAAAAAATGATCCATTAAATTCCCTGCATTCTTACGAAGAACAGTAGCGAGAGGGAGAAGTCAACATATAACGAGGCAGATATTTTAGGAAAACATTAAAAACAATTCATCAATAAGTCAGTCACTCCAATATGAAGTGACCCCATAAGATCCTAATCCATAATAAGTCACAACCTTCAACCTATATCTTCTTGGTTTTTACCACACAGCTGATGACAGCAGTTTTCTTCACAAACACAACCCTCAAAGCCAGAAAGACAAGTTAAGATAAAACGTTTAACAATCACTAACTAATAATAATGTGCGAAGAAAAGAAACAAAACTTTTTGAGACAAAATTAACAATAAGCTTTTCAACAAATAGGTGCTTCAGAAGAATCCACCCATTTCCGAAATTGATATGACAAAGCATGTATATTTATCAAAATATCCTATGATGATGATGAGGCCTCTGATCTCGGCCTTGTATAACCGAGGCTGATTAGCTTCTGCGCCAGAGAGAGAGAGAGAGAGAGAGAGAGAGTAGAGGATAGGAAGCAACATCGAAGCAACATCAATAGTGGAAATTACGAGCCCTTGAGGATTTATTCTTGCGCATAAATAAATTCATGGATGTTGTGCTAACACTGCGAAGTTTGTTTAACAGAAGAAACTGATTACATCAAACAACCGAACTGTTGATACTGAGAAATACCGCTTTTTATGACATTGTAATACATACGTTGCTTCGTTACAGCGGTTTGACAACTCCATGGACAGTGACTTCAGCCTCGAAAAGGGAAAAGTCCCCAACCAAGTAACCCAAGTAGGGTTCCCTGAAGTAGGCATTTGTGATATATCTTGACCGGCCATATTCCTCATTTCGGGTACTGAACCAGAGACTGGCTTTATAATTAAAATTGTTGTTGGTATTGATTTGACTTAGAATGCGCAATGTGAAATCGGCGTATATTTTGCTGCCTGGAGGAAGGTCGGTTGAATCAACCAAAGCCAAATAGAGTGATAGATGAGTACCCAAGCCATCTCCTTTTCCCTTCTGATACAGCCTTATCTTCCTGTAGAGACAAAATACGAAACCAGTACATGAAAAATGCTTCTTTGCCTTCTTTATCATCATGGAATTTTAGAAAAAAAAAAAAAAAAAAGACGATATAATGGGGATACCATTTCAGATCTGCTGCGTTGAATTCTTTCGATTCGTGGCATACTACGTCTAATTTGGAAAAGTAAACCCAAAAACTGTGCTTGTATGTGATGGGATCCTTTATCATCTGTAGACATTCTCCTTTACAAGTGCTTCTTTCTTTGCAAACAAACACTTCTGCTCCAAGAACACAAGTGTCATCCACAAGAAACCCATTAGCAGAGTCATTCAGAACTTTAAGAGAGATGAATTGATCAAAGCCCCATTCAAGCTTCATTCTGTGAAAGCGTCTTTCCTTTCCCTCAACATCTAAGGCAACACAGAGTTGGGAAATAAGAGTGTGTTAGAATGAGTTTCATGATGGTTAAAAGAAATTGCGATTTTTTAACTCAGAAGGGTAAACTAAAGATACTTAAGGGTTGTTCTTTTCACAGCTCAAGTTGATAACGTGAGTTGTGTATGTGAGAAAAAAACACTGTAGTAAAAAAGTTGAGTTATGAAATTTTATGAGAGAAAACAATACTGTAGCAATAGAACTTGAGTTGTGACTTGAGTTATGGAAAAAAAAAACAATAAGATGTTACTAATTGACACTATGTATATTAAAACTATAAGTTTGAGGATAAATTACCCTGAAGAACCATGTAGTTATCATTGTTCTGATTGAGTATAAACAACCTGAAAACGGCATAAACTTCCCAACCGGTTTGGAGGGAATCCGCTTCGGCCATTGCCAAGTAGAGAGAGATATATTCTCTCACATTCCTGCATTTGTTTCCATTTGGATAGATAACCAAGTTCCTGAAAACATAGACGTGACATCTATAAGACATGACAGAAAAGGAAAATGCAGGAAATTTATGATGTGAATTTTACTGGCAAGAAAATGTACCATTTGTAGCCTCCGGCTTCAAATTGATTCGACGCGTATCTATCTATTGAATTCTTCATTAACAAAGAAAACGACTGTAGTTTGATGGTATAATGAGCCGGTGGTACATTTGAGATTGACCTCAAAACGCCTGCAAATAGATAATTAGACATGTCATGATGTAGAAACTGATTGAATGATAATTAGACACATCCTCCTAATTTGATTGTACAAGGAATTCTTTCGAAACTCAAAACTCAACCTATAACGTACCATTTGGATCGTTGAAGACTGGAGCGGCGGCCATGGTAATAGAATCCACACCAATTGCGTCAAATGCTCGGTACGAGGTTGGAACAATATCCTAAATGGAGTTTTCTCTGCTTTTAAGGGGAAAATGAATGTAATCCTTTGCTTCAAGAGGATTGCATTGTTCCAGGGAACAGGTATCAATTCTCTGCTTAAGGGTGTTTGTCCATGCATAATAGTCATTAATGTGCATAAAGGAATATGCTTTGTCTCATACGTTTGTTCCAAAGGAGAATGCATTCTTTAACCACTCTTTAAACAATGCCTACTAGGGGCTAGATGGTTATGCTCCGAAGATAGATAGAGCCATAATTTACAATAAAGGCGGACTCCAGTGCCAAAGAGGCTCTCGTACTATGACAGGCTCGGGGAAAAGCTCAATCCCATATGTACGCGGCCTTATCCCCCAAAGGCGAGGCCGTTTCTGGGATTCGAACCTTAGACCTCAGGTGCAAACGCAAGTGCTCCCACCACGGTGCCAAGGCCGTTTCCGGGATTCGAACCTTAGAGCCATAATTTACAATATGTAATTTTATTTGGAAATTAAGAAAGTAACTTACTAGAGACGCTAGATGGTTATGTCAGATGATACATGTGGCATACTACTATATGCTCTTTTTTAGTAAGGAAAAAATAAAACAAAAATAAAAATAACGTCTAGTAATCAAGAGATAAAACAAACATAAAAAGAAGGAAGAGCAGGACAAGTCCGCATACATGAGATGAAAGGAAAAACTCACGGGAATATTTTTCCTCCCACAAATCAACAGAACTCTTATTCCTTCCTAACCATAACATCCAAGGCAAAACAAAACACCAATGTTCCTATAATCTTTCCTTCTTGAAATGCAGCTCAGAAAAGAAAATCCAAGGAGGAAACATCAAGAATTCTTTTTCTCCACGAATCACCCCCTGAATCTGTATCTCTATTACACGTTTAATTAATAATTTTGAAGCCAACAACGCACAAGAATGAAAAAATGATCCATTAAATTCCCTGCATTCTTACGAAGAACAATAGCGAGAGGGAGAAGTCAACATATAAAGAGGCAGATTTTTTAGGAAAACATTAAAAACAATTCATCAATAGGTTAGTCACTCCAATATGAAGTGACCCCATAAGATCCTAATCCATAATAAGTCACAACCTTCAACCTATATCTTCTTGGTTTTACCACACAAATGATGACAGCAGTTTTCTTCACAAACACAACCCTCAAAGCCAGAAAGACAAGTTAAGATAAAACGTTTAACAATCACTAACTAATAATAATGTGCGAAGAAAAGAAAAAAAACTTTTTGAGTCAAAATTAACAATAAGCTTTTCAACAAATAGGTGCTTCAGAAGAATCCACCCATTTCCGAAATTGATATGACAAAGCATGTATATTTATCAAAATATCCTATGATGATGATGAGGCCTCCGATCTTGGCCTTGTATAACCGAGGCTGATTAGCTTCTGCACCAACATCTTCTCAGCCTCTGCCTAAAATTCCATAAAATAAAAAAAATAAAAAAAATAAAAAAATAAGACAGAGAGAGAGAGAGAGAGATAGGAATGAGCAAGAAGCTTTGGTTTTTTTTTTTGTTTTGTTTTTTTTATTATTTCAAATGTATAATCCTTAATAAAGCTTATTAATAAAGAAGTGATAGATATCCCTTGAACTATAACCACACTTTAGTGTCTGAACTTTCATTTGTAACACCTGTAGTTTCTGAACTTTTGATTACCTCTTAAAATTCCAATAAGGAAAAAATAATGAAAAAATGTATCAATTTTTATTTACCGAGATAGGAAAGTACATCAAATACTTTGTCGGACTATACACACTTATAACATGTTAATCTCTAAATTTCACCATTCGAAGTTCAAGTTACTGTCCTTGCAGTTACGCACTTGTCCAACGACAAACCCTCCTGTGACTATTTTCCTTCCAAAAACTGACAGAGGGAACATTTATGATTGTTAATGAAACTTCAGTTACTATAGTCATTACAAATGAAAATTCAGGGCTTAAAGTGTTACCACAGATATAATTCGAGAGGCATGATTGAAATCAGCCAAATTAAGAATGAAAAAATAACACCGAATTATTACAGAATCAAAACTAACCCAATGAAACCTATAAAAAATAAAGAAAAAAAAATCCCCTATTTTCAATATTTTCAATTGAAATTCTATGAATATGAGTAAGAGAAAATGGACCTCAAGCAAAGGAGAGTTCTTGGGGATATTGGAAGCCAGAATTACATGGAGACCACTCTTTAACACTGCCATTGTAACATATTAATGTAATTTTGTATTTTTGCTCATTGTCAGTTTCCAATAACAAATAAAAAAATTAAGGAAAACAGAAAAACAGAAAAAAAAAAAAAAAAAACCTAATCGTCGAGCAATGCCTGATGCAGTATTATCAGATGCCCCACCAAGAACACAACTCACACTTGCTCCATTATTCCTCTGCATTACAATAATACGCCATCGTTTCAAAATTTCCCAATCCATCGAAAATTTTAAAACAATAATTAACAAAAGAATCTCAATTTAGAGTTTAGGGTCAATAACTAACTAAAAAAAAAAAAAAAAAAAAAAAACCAAAATATCAATTTAGGGTTTAGGATTCAGGGCAAAAAATCAAATTTTAGGGGGAAAATTTCCAAACAACCCAACTTTCAATAGATCAAATTTTTAATTCCACATTTCTAATCGATTTAAAAAATAATTAAAAAAAGGCTGAAATTAGTTTACTCACGGGTTGAGTAGGCGCTGCTGCGTACAAATGGCCAAATTTCGCAGAGTTGCAACCAATCCAAGCATATATCTAAAAAATAAGCCAAAAAAAAAATCAACTTTTATTTTTCCTTCAAAATTTTCAAGTAAGGCAAAAGAGAGAATCAAAAGAAAGAAAATTGGGAAAGGAAGAGTTAGAGCTGGACCTGCCTGGGAAGACGAATGATCTGAAAGTGGAGGGTGACGTCGTTGACGGCGTCGCTGAAGGAAATCACTGGAACGACGTCGTTTTCCGTTTGTTTATCATCGGAAATGTCGGCCGACCTTAGAGCTGAGTTCAGAGCTTCCATCGTCTCTTTATTAGTCTCTACTCTCTCTGTCTTGCGACTGAAGGCAGATGAAGGGAAAAACAGAATGAGAAAACAGCATACATTTACATACATTTACGTAAAAACGACATGTCGTCACCGCATTACAATTGATTTCTCTACTTTTTCTTTTACTACGAAACTTAAAAAAAATTTGACTTCGAGTGTCGTTCTTTTGCGACAAAATTTAAAAAAAATTTAAACAAAATTTTATTTAACTTCGTGTTCTTTTATAAAATTTAAATTTGAACTCGAGTTTGAATTCGAATTTAAACTCGAGTTTAAAATTAAATTTGAGTTCATAAACTTAAATTCAAGTTAATAAACAATATTTTTTTATTTTTAAAAATATCATAACTTTTTTATTTTAATTCTGATTAAGATGATTTTTTTTTATACATTCACAATGAAAAGACGAATAAAAATTCATCCATATATCCTATTAAAATTTTTCATCAACTTTAAGTTTTGACCCACTCAAACATAAACTCAAAAATATTCTCAATTCAAATTATAATTCAAATGTACACATCTAAATACAAACTCAAATTACCACTTTAATTCAAGTTATAACTCAAACTCAACTCAAGATTATTACTCAAGTCACCTTAATAAATACAAAAGAACAATCCCTCTAATTCTCGTTTGGTATCATTTGCCTTTTCTTGAGATACGTGTACAAATAACACATATGAGAGTGTGGTTTTAATATGAGTGTGATTTCAAAGATTATTTCAAAGTAAAATATACGCTTATTTATAATAATTAATATAATTAGATTTTTATTACACCACTTTATTATATTTTTATATTTAATAATAATTGTCAATAAAATTATAATCATTAAAAATTTGTCATACATATATACATATTAGTTGAAACAATCATTAAAAACTCGTCATATATATACATATTAGTTAAAATAACGTGCGAGACTCTGAGGGGGGAAAATTTTGTACTCAAATCTTGATTGGAAAAATTCAATTGCTCTTGATACTTTCATTCTCTGAATGTACAATTACATGCGGTCAATAGCAAATGATAATGTGCTCAGCGAAAAGGTTTGGCCCAACAAATATTTAAGGCCCATTTACTGATTCAAGTTTTTAATTTGAATTAATATGTAATTTTATATGAGAATTTTTATTGTTATAAAAAAATTAGTCAATAGCAAATGATAATGTGCTTAGCGAAAAGGTTTGGCCCAAGAAATATTTAAGGCCCATTTACTGATTCAAATTTTTAATTTGAATTAATATGTAATTTTATATGATAATTTTTATTGTTGTAAAAAAATTAGATGTGAAAGGAAGAGTTAGAGCTAGATCTGCCTGGAAAGACGAATGATCTGAAAGTGGAGGGTGACGTCGTTGACGGCGTCACTGAAGGAAATCACTGGAACGACGTCGTTTTCCATTTGTTTATCATCGGAAATGTCGGCGAGCTGAGTTCAGAGCTTCCATTGTCTCTTTATTAGTCTCTACTCTCTTTGTCTTGCGACTGAAGGCAGATGAAGGGAAAAATAGAATGAGAAAACAACATACATTTACGTAAAAATGACATGTCGTCACCGCATTACAATTGATTTCTCTAATTCTCGGTTGGTATCATTTGCCTTTTCTTGAGATACGTGTACAAATAACACAGCCTTTTCTTGAGATACGTGTACAAATAACACATATGACTATATGAGTGTGGTTTTAATGGTTATTTTAAAATAACATATACACTTATTTATTATAATTAATATAATTGAATTTTTATCACACTATTTTCAGGTTGTTCTTTTGTAAAAAAAATTAAAAAAAAGACAACTTGAGTTTTAACTTTATTCAAGTTCATGTTCTTTTAAGTTCTAATTTTATTCAATTTTACTCAACTTTATTCAAATTATAACTTCAACTCAAGTTATAACTCAAATTCAACTAAAAAATTACACTTAAATTATACTCTAAAAGAACAAGCCCTTTATTAGTTGAAACAAGTGAGGGTGAATTTTGTACTCAAATCTTGATTGGAAAAATTCAATTGCTCTTCCCGTTTAGTTCGCTGATTCGAGTTTTTAATTCGAGTTGAAATGTGATTTTATGTGAGTATTTTTTACTGTAGTAAAAAAGTTAGATGTGATTGTTTCTGAGAGCTTTTTACTGTAACAAAACTCGAATTCTAAACTCGAATCAGCGAAATAAACGGGGCCTCATTCTCTGAATTACATGCTGTCAATAGCAAATGATAATGTGTTCAGCGAAAAGGTTTGGCCCAAGAAATATTTAGGGCTCATTTACTGATTTAAATTTTATATGAGAATTTTTATTGTAGTAAAAAAATTAGATGTGAATTTTTTTCTATAATAAAATTTAAATTTTAAATTTGAATCAACAAAATAAACATGGGCTTAATGGGTAGTAAACAAAATCTGAACAACAAATAATTAATTTTAAAAAAGTGAATTCAGCATAGGCATTACAAATAGATAGCTTAACCAAAACGAAGATAAAACCAAACAGAAAACTGGAAAATAGATTCTAAGGCCCCATCTTATTCGTTGTTTCCTGTTTTATTCTGTTTGTTTCCTTTTCGATGGATTTCTCATCCATCTTGAAATTTCTGTATATTTTATTTGATCACTGAAGTTTCCTGTTTCTTATAAAAAAAAAAAAACAAAAAAAGGTAACTTAACAAAAGCTAAATCTATTAATGCTTGTAGCTTTCAAGAGATGATCTTCTGCTTCCTCTTTTTTTCTTTTTTTCTTTTTTTCTTTTTTTTTTAACAGTCTATTACACACACGCATAGGGTGCTCAAAGAAGCCTGAGTACACTAGGTTATAAAAAAATAAAAAAATTGCTCGTTGGAGTCACTAATGCCACCAACACTCTAAGCATAAAAAATGCCCATGTATGTGAAGTTCACTTTGCTAAGGTTCAATATACACATATTACCGAGGTTTAATGAATTAAAGAACCCTGATGAAGAATAAGCAGAAAAGAGAGGATGAGAGAAATGAATTATTTATAAACATTGGCCTCGTTCACTTCGCGGATTCGATTTTTCAATTTGAGTTGAGATGTGACACTTTATGAGAGCTTTTTACTGTAGTAAAAAAAAGTTATATGTGATATTTTCTGAGAGTTTTTTACTGTAAAAACTTAAAACTAAAAATTCGAATCAGTGAAATGAACGAGGCCACTATACGGATTCAAGTTTTCAATTCGAGTTGAGATGTGACATTTTATAAGAGTTTTTTATTGTAATACAAAAAATTAGATGTGATATTTTCTGAGAGCTTTTCATTGTAAAAACTTAAAATTGAAAATTCGAATCAGTGAAATGAACGAGGCCAATATAGCCCATATTTATTCAAGACATTGATGAACAATACAGTGAAGTTACAAAAGTAAAATGCAGATTTTCTACTTCTTTTTCCCCTCTCTCTGTTGTAGTTTCATTCATGCATTTCTAATAGTTTACATATAAATTCAAACCCAAAAGGCCCAAGAAAATCTGAAAATAACATGCAAACAAATGGTGAAAGTCACAAGAATAAAAAGATAAAATAACAAAGCAGACTTTCTCTTTAAATATTGTCAAGCAATTGGCAGGAACAATGGAAATTGTAAATCCAACAAAAGGCCAAAATGGAACAAGAAACGGTAAACTTATAGCAAATCCTTTGACGTTTCTCAATTTAAGGTTGAGAAGCGAAAGAAGAATGGAAAATTTAATAGAAGAGGAAATAAAAATCTTGGATTTTGATATCAAGTTTGAATAAATCTAAACAAATTCAACAATAAACATGTAAATACTATCTGAAACCAAATTAAACAGCAATCCATATGAAAAACAAACAAAATTCCTAAAACCGATGATATGAAATCTATCAGAGGAGCGAACCTGTGGAAAATAACCAAAGCATCAAGAAAGAGAGAGAGAAAAAAAAAAAAAAAAAAAACCCGATGATTCCGGAGGGTCAGACAAACAAAAAAGCCCCACCTCACCTCTCTTGGATTTCTGATGGTTGTCTCCCAAAAACGAAGAAAACCCTTAAAATAAAATAAAATAAATAAGGATTAATTACAAAACTCCCTTTTAACTATCTTTGTCCTCTAATTTTTAAAATATACTATTCATTTTTTTAAAAAATAAAATGTTAACAACAAAATTCATCTTTTAAATTTATTAACAGAAATTAATATTTAATTTATTATTTTAAGATATTTTAATAGTTTTATAGTTTAAAATTTAGTTTAAATTTAAAACTAATTTAAATTTAAACTTTTAATTATTATATGTTCATTATTAATTGAATGTAAGTTAAAAATTTTATAAATCTGTTTTCGATAGAATAAAAAAAATTATGAAGTTTTTTTAAATGTATAAACTATATTTAATTCAAATTAAATTCTAAATCATCAAATTATTAAAATACCCTCAAAATAACAAATTAAATATTAATGTTAGTTTAAAAAACTTAACAGGTGGGGCTTTTTGTTAAATTTCATTATTCATAAAGAACAAGTATTACACTTTAAAGATTTGGGGATAAAATGTTATAAAAAGTATAATTCATAAGAAATTTTTATAATTAATCCTTATTTATTTTATTTTATTTTAAGGTTTTTCTTCATTTTAGGGAGACAACTATAAGAAATCCAAGAAAGATGATGTGGGTTTTTATTTATTTATTTATTTATTTATCACAAGATCGGTCCGTTGATTAGATCCTAACATCGGACCTAACACATCGGTATCATTTATACACAAAGCCTGACACGTCGGTTCTATCCCAACATCTAGCCTGACACATTGGTCTGATCTTGACGATAATCCCATCTCATTATTTGAGTCGTGACATTAAGTTTAAGTGACATTTTTATTCTTGTTTAAAAAAAAAAATGTAATAACACATTTTTTGTTTGTTATTTTTAAAAATAGGAAATAAATTGTCGTTACCACACATGTTTTTTATTTAAAAAATTAAAAAATAAAAAGAAAAAAATATTTTTACTTCTTTAGTTTTAAAAAATAAAAACCTTACCGTGGCCTAAATTAAATAAAGGGAAAAAAAAAAAGCGTGTTTTTAGTGGTTTTTACTTGACACGCTCATCTCTTTCTACATAATAATGAACTTTAAAACTCATCAAAGAAGAAGCGGTCCGTTTCTAAACTCCATATCCCCTCCCCTCTCTCTCTAAAACTTGAGTCGCAGTTGCAGTTTATTATTAGGGCTTTTGGTTCCAGTCTTTCTTTTCCTCTGTTCTGCGACCGAACTTCTTGTTTAATTCTTTTGATCCATTTTTTTTTTCTCGGAAATTCGTATTGGCTTCGTCAATCGTCACCCCTCATGAAATCTTTGAGTTCGCTGCTCGCCCATGGCTGAGGTTAATCGATTCCTTTCCAATCAGCAATTCGGTCGGCTCCGTTTTCTCCCTTCTCCTCTTTTATTTATTTTCTGCTTCAAATATATGCATTTATTTTTGTATCTATTTATATATGTATATGCATATGTATATAACTATTCGTTTCAACAATGGCGTTAAAAGATAGATATATTATTTTGTTACCTTTTTCGTCATTTCTGCATGGTTGCATGCATTTTCCATTATTATTATTATTATTTTTTTTGTTATTGTGCTTCATGTAATATCAATGTTTTTTGAGTTTGCATTTCAATTGAGTTTGATTATGAACGAATTACAATCGTTAATCAAATACAAAACTATATCGACTCGATGTTCGGGACCCACCGGCAAGTAATGATGTTTTCATCATGTTTGCCATTCGGCCCTACATGTACCTTTTCAGTTCAATGGTGCTTATGTCCATTTTGTGAATGTTAATTTTTGTTGGGTTTTTTTTGTTTTTTAATATATAAATTGTTGCTTTTAAATAGATTTTGATGAATTCTCAACCAAAAAAAAAAAAAAGAAAGAAAATATTTGATCAAATGATATTAACTTTCTTTCAATTTGGCAGATCTTGTCCAGATACTGCAAGAAGCTCAAAATCGTTGGCTCCGACCAACTGAAATATGCGAAATACTTCGCAACTATCAGAAGTTTCAACTAACACCTGATCCGCCCGTTACGCCTCCAGGTTGGTATTGCTATATATTATTTTGATGATGTATATATTCTTGTTTTACATGCTTAAACAGAATAGGAATGTTAAGAGTATTCAAATATGTTTTTAAACTGAAATGTGGAATTCTTTCTTGGAAAATTAATTAACTTTCTTAAACACCTTTCCTTGATAAAAATTAAAATACCAATTGCAAGGAAAAAGAGGATAAGATATTCTCTGAACATTGAAAGAGAAGTACTAAAATTACGAAAAAAATAAGCAAACAATAACAAAAACACAGGGAAAATCTAAATACAAACAAAAAAAGATGGTTTTGATCCAATTGAAGTGCAGCTGGACAAATTTGACAGTCAAAATTGGATTTTTTTTTTAATCGGTCTATCCACAGTTTCAACAAGGGCTTTATTGAGATGTGAGTTTTGATGTAGTGGAGTAGTGGTCTTTTGGAGCTGGTTTAGTTTATTTAGTGGCTTTTAATATGTAATGATTGCAATAATGATGGAGTAGATCTAATGAAAGGGTGAAACTCAATTGCTTAGACACAGAATTCAAGGTTTCAACACCTTGAATGCAATTACTAGCATAAACCAACAAGTTCATAGCAGCAAATTCAATTATAGCAGTCAAAATGGTCTGAAGAGGGAAAGAAATACGATAGATGCCTAATAAGATAGCTACAACAAGTTTTGGACTAGACCAGTAAACTAAGCCAGCACCAAAAGACCGCTACTGCACTACATTAGTTTTTAATTTTTACTTTTTTTTTATTTAATTTGGATAGTGATTAGTGTAGTTCTATGTTTGAGGGAATCTAGGTAATATTTAGAGACTATATTAGGGTACAATCACGTGTGCATTCTTCATATGCAATTCGTGATATTGATTGTATATCGCGTGTGCATTCTTCATATGCAATTCGTGATATTGATTGTATTCCACATCTAAAACCATATATGTTTACTGGTGAAGTTGGTAATGTGTCAGATAACCACTCATTACTATTGCATTGCAAATAAGGATCGTTGACATTGATTACACGCTAACTTTTATGTGTTGTTCATGTTACAGCTGGCTCTCTCTTCCTGTTTGACCGAAAAGCACTCAGGTATTTTCGTAAAGATGGTCATCGATGGAGGAAAAAGAAAGATGGAAAAACTGTGAAAGAAGCTCATGAAAAGTTGAAGGTGTGCTGTTCAATTTGTTATTAGTAAGTTCACTTTTTTTTTTGTCTCAGATGTCCCTGAAATGTTCAGATTTTAGGTTTTAAGTTGATTTTTCCTTCTTTTTAATCCAAAGTGTAGCCCCAAACCAATTGGAAAACGAATCCATAAATTACCTTAAAAAAAAGGCCAAAAACACTTAAACCAGACCAAAGTGTCTCTCTCATTGAGGCTCATGCCTCAATAATAGCCCCTTGCTTGCTAGGGGCGTGAGGTGTATATTTCCCTAAAGAGGTATGTGCCTTCATGTTATACATGGCCGCTTCAGTTTGAGGCACATCTCGAATTGCGCACCTCAAATAATTTTTCAAACAGTTCTAAATGTAATGGAATTTTGACGCTTTTCTTCCTTGTTCTTACTTTTACATCAAAACTCCAAATAAGTTGAGAAAAGTTGTATTTCGTATTCCATTCCTCCTCTTTTTATATCTTTACATGGTTATTGAATATGATTACCTACTTTCTACTTATATGGCATCTTTTAATACATTCATAAAATGTATTATGGTGCTTAAGACTAGCAGTTTTTTGCCAATTTTGTTGAATGTAATACCTTCTAAGTCCTAGCCCTTTCTCTTTTATGCTCTCGCAAATTTCTCTCCATGGCCTAGTGAGATTGTATCTCAATTCTGCTTGTGCACTTAATAAGTCAGTTTTCTACTCTCCCTCTTTAGGCTGGTAGTGTAGATGTTCTTCACTGTTACTATGCCCATGGAGAGGAGAATGAGAACTTCCAGCGGCGGAGTTATTGGATGCTTGACGGGTGAGTGCTGTTAATGGAAGAGAGAATAGTCTTGCAACTTTTGTTGTTAAGGTTTTGAAAGACATTTTACATAAGGCTTCTTTACTGTAACATTGAATGAAATGAGTTATTTGATGTTGCATTTCATTATTTGTGACATCATTCCATAACTCTCGGAAAATTTACTTTTTTAGTAAGTTCTGTCTGCATCATTTTTGTTAATATTTTGTTTGGGTTCACATCATGCTGATTGATTGTGTTTCAGGCAGCTGGAGCACATTGTTCTTGTGCATTACAGAGAAGTAAAAGAGGTATTACATCATTGAACAAGGGAAAACAATCTAGTCTACATCTATATTCTTTGACATCCTCTAAATCTTTTGTTAGACTGGACTCATTGGCTCTACTTGAAGGCCCAAACTCAGCCTTTATGTTATTTTTTCCCCCTCTGTTTATTTATTTTTGTCGCATATTGTCCTCCTATGCATTTCAGGGGTTGAAGTCCGGTATCTCTCGTTTGCTGGCAAGTCCTAGATTACAGGTTGAAAGCCCTCAAAGTAGTTCCGCACCTTGCTCTGCACAAGCGAACTTGCATGTCCATACACTTCAAACATCTTTCACAACAAATCCAAACAGAGTTGACTGGCAAGTGCAAACATTGTCACCAGAGTTTGAGGATGTGGATTCGAATAATAATCCCGGACCTTCTTCTTTCATTCACCCTGCATTTGGTTCCACATCACATGATGCTTCTCTGCTTTCACACGGAGTTGCAGGTAAAATGCTGTAACGCCCTTCTCGAGCTAGCAGCTAAAAACAACGCCAGTTCGAGAGAAACGTTAACTAAAATAAATAATATTGCTTAATAGAGAAATAATATCTATCACAAATACAATCATCGAACATAATTCTTAATATTACAAATTTCATTTCTTAAGATCTTCTAACTTGTCATGAGACTATGAACTATTCTTGCTCAGTCAATTGGAATTTCTATTTTAGCACTTACCTGCATCACAAGAATTATATGAGCGCAAACTCAGTAAGTAAACCATAAATAATTTCCACTTTCAAATACTTTTTTTTAACATTAAGGGCCCTCTTGTATAATATTAATCTTGTGTTATAGAACCTCTTTCATATGGCCCTTGTCATGGAATCTCTTATTCCTCCAGGATTTGGCCCTTCATCATATTTCAATCGGCTCATAATAAGCACAAGATTCACATTATACTCAGAAATATTTTCAAAATCTCATAAAAACATGTCAATAATAACGTATATAAATTGAAAATATACTATTGTTCAAGTGATGCAGTAGAAAGTCTACTTACAGTCAAGCTGCTTAAGAAGAAAAGCTATTCTCTCTATATCTCTCCTCTTCTTGACTCACGTAAAATTGGCTGAAGACCACCCTCTGAATAAGCTTCAATATATGTACTACAAACTAAAGAGAATTAGACTTCTCACCTAAAGAAACGTGGCATTAAGATCTCTAAGTAAGGTGGCATAGTTCATGTGCTTACATGTTAAGCTCCAAACGTGGACTCATATTTTTTTTGTACTCAATTTATACCAAGCCACCTCATGCTTATATAATATCATTCCTATCATATCAATTCTCAAGCAAATAAAACCAACCTCTTGCATGCCTCATGCCTACAGACAACACTTTAATTATGCACTAAATAGATTCTAAGCATTATTGATCAATATCAACGTAAGCTCTACAAAATTCTACTTTTCATCGTATTCACCATAAACTAAGCTAATAAATAGAATTTTAATATCGGATATTACAATTCTCCCTTTCATAAAAAAATTTCGCCCTCGAAATCTGACAATTCTAATATCTCCAATTGAATAACTGTCTTTAAATAATTCAAAACCATAATTTGTCCTCAAAAACAAAAATCATACGCTGATTGAGCATTTAATCCCATAACACACCCACTATACGTATTGCTCTGATACTAAATTGTAACGCCTTTCCCGAGCTAGCAGCTAAAAACAACGCCAGTTCAAGAGAATTGTTAATATTACAAATTTCATTTTTTAAGATCTCCTAACTCGTCATGAGACCATGAACCATTCTTGCTTTGTCAATTGGAATTTCAATTTTAACACTTACCTGCATCACAAGAACTATATGAGTGCAAGCTCAGTAAGTAAACCATAAATAATTTTCACTTTTAAATACTTTTCTTTAACATTTAGGGCCCTCTTGTATAATAATAATATTAATCTTGTGTTATTAAAATCTCTTTCATATGACCCTTGTCATAGAATCTCGTATTCCTCCATGATTTGGCCCTTCATCATATTTCAATCGGTTCATAATAAGCACAAGATTCACATCATACTCAGAAATACTTTCAAAATCTCATAAAAACATGTCAATAATAACGTATATAAATTGAAATATACTATTGTTCAAGTGATGCAGTGGAAAGTCTACTTACAATCAAGCTGCTTAAGAGGGAAAGCTATTCTCTCTATATCTCTCCTCTTCTTTTTTTTTTTTTTTTTTTTTTTTTTTTTTTTTTTTTTTTTCCCCCTTTTTTTTTTTTTTTTTTTTTTTTTTTTTCCTTTCTTTATGCTTTTACTCACGTAAAATTGGTTGAAGACCACCCTTTGAAGACCACCCTCTGAATAGGCTTCAATATATGTACTACAAACTAAAGAGAATTAGATTTCTCACTTAAAATAAACGTGGCATTAAGATCTCTAAGTAAGGTGGCATAGTTCATGTGCTTACGTGTTAAGCTCCAAACGTGGAATCATATATATTTTTTTAGTTAATTTATACCAAGCCACCTCATGCTTATATAATATCATTCCTGTCATATCAATTCTCAAGCAAATAAATCCAACCTCTTTCATGCCTCATGCCTACAGACAACACTTTAATTATGCACTAAATAGATTATAAGCATTATTGATCAATATCAACGTAACCTTTACAAAATTCTACTTTTCATCTTATTCACCCTCAACTAAGCTAATAAATAGAATTTTAATATCGGATATTACAAATGCATTATTGCATGTACTAGGTATTTATTTACAACAACTTCTGGCATCAGTTACAAATTCTCTGTTCTTTAACTTGGATGAAATTTTCTTGAAACATTTGTTTTATTCTGCTCTTTCTGGAGTTCATATCACGAGCTATTTTGCTATAGATTCATTTCATTTCATGTGTTGCATGGTTGGCCTGAATTTTTTGCGTCATTCTTGGTAACCTCCATTTCTTTTACTTTTTCTAACACAACTTCTCTATTCCATACAGCCTTTCTTCTTCTTTGATCAAGCTTGGTCTGGTTCCTTTAATTAGACTCTGTTGTTTTGCAAGTCACAATTATCGAGCTTTAGAGTCTTGTCATTCAAGCCGCATAATAGTTGAGCTATTGTTTCTGTTCTGCACAATGAGTTGAGCGAAATAGAAAGTTTGTGATTAGGTGTCTATCTATGCTTTTTCAGGGTTTGCTGAGTTGTCCAGGAACCCCCCTGGCATTTGGGATCCTGAACCTAAATCTTATCAGGCTGCTGGATCATCTGTCTGGGCTGGAAATCTCAGCTCAACCAGAAGTGATGACAGCACACATGACCAGAAATGTTATATTGAACAACCTAGTACTGCGGACGTTATAACTCATAAGCTAAGTGATGCTAAGTTGGATGCTGATGTTAGAGTGCATGATATTGTCACCTGTGCTGATAGATTGATAAGTGAAATAGACGTTCAAGTGGCAACAATAGCTTCAAAGAGAAATATCCAGGTCTGTTTTTCTAGTCAGCGGTGCTTCTTTAATCCTGACACCTTTTAACTTCAGCAAAGACTTACTTTATTTTTTTTTTTTTTTTTTTTTTTTTTTTTGAGACAGATTGACTATATGAATGGTTACTCGTGTCTTTTCAGTTGGTTTTGGATTTGTGTTTCATGTGGTAGAAGCTTCCCAAGCAATATATCTTTTACTTTCAGTTGCAACAGGAGCATACTTTTAATTCGGTTTATCTCCTTCTCAGCAGTATTGTGATCCTCAGATGGTAGAGAATTTAACCGACCAAGTTGGGAAGAAATCTGAAGATGAAGATATTTCCTTACCTAATGATGGATCAGCAGAGCTGAAAAAACTAGACAGTTTCGGAAGATGGATGGATAAAGAAATTGGTGTGGATTGTGATGACTCCTTGATGGCTTCTGACTCTGGAAATTATTGGAATGCACTTGATGCTGAGAATGACGATAAAGAAGTATCAAGTTTGTCATGTCGTATTCAGTTGGATATTGATTCACTTGGCCCATCTCTTTCACAGGAACAACTATTTAGTATCTGCGACTTCTCGCCAGATTGGGCTTATTCAGGTGTTGAAACAAAGGTAATTTGTATGTATTGGATAGCTGCACTTCGAGTCTAGCTGTAACATAATATCAACTTCCTTTTATTTCAGCGAGTTATTGATGCATCATGCACTAGAATTTTGAGATTTAAATCATGTGTCTTTATTATCTTATTCTACTTTCAGGTTTTAATAGCAGGTAGATTTTTGGATAGCAAGAAGCATTCTGCTGAGACAAAGTGGGGATGCATGTTTGGTGAAATTGAGGTTCCCGCTGAAGTTGTGACTGATAGTGTCATTCGATGTCAAGCTCCTTTGCATGCTCCTGGACGTGTTCCATTCTATGTGACCTGCAGAAATAGGTTAGCCTGCAGTGAGGTAAGAGAATTTGAGTATCAAGAGAAACCTCTGAGGATTGCTATTAACAGCACACCAGAAGATGAATTGCACTTACAGATACGACTAGGAAAATTGTTAAATTCAGGATCAGAAAGCAAATCATTAAATTGCTCAATCGTTGAATGTGATAAATGTAAGCTTGAAGGTACTATATGTTCAATGAGAATCAACACCAGTCACTTGACACCTGGCGATGCCTTGATTCAAACTTTGCTAAAGGATAGACTTTGTCAGTGGCTTATTTGCAAAATTCACGAAGAAGGTAAAGGACCGCTTGCCTTGGATGATGAAGGCCAAGGAGTTATCCATTTGGCAGCTGCTCTTGGTTATCAATGGTCTATGGGCCCCATAGTTGCTGCTGGCATAAGTCCCAATTTCAGAGATGTACGTGGAAGAACAGGGCTTCATTGGGCTTCCTGTTTTGGGAGGTGAGTTTGCTGCTTGCATGATCATGCCGATCACAAAGCTTCATTCTATGGAGATTTGTTTTTCTTTGGCTATAGTGCATCAGCTGTAGGCTACTTGGCAACAACTTCCTGACTTATTTAAATGACATTCTCAATCTGGTTGTTGCCTTTTGATGATTCATAATCTCAATACTTTTCTTTATTGTCATTTTGTTAGATTAATTTGGTATGTGTATTTGGGAGATCCTAGTTCTAGGATTTTTTTTTTTTTCTAGGAAATAAAAATAAAAAACGATGGTTTAAGTCAACTATGAAATAATTGTTATCTCGAGCCTAAAGGAGAATCTATGAATAAATACCTATGTTTCTGTCCCTTTTCCTTTTTCTTGTTCCTTTGATTTTTTGGATAAATGAGCGGAAAGGATAAAGGTGGATTCTCATGCCTAATTGAGATTGAACTAAATTTTGGGTTTCTTGTTGGATTTGCGATGTGAAGGGTTTTACGGTGGACCATCCATCTGTTTTCTTGTTCTCTCTCTCTCTCTCTCTCTCTAATAATCAGTTTCTTATACATTCTTTTATAAGAAAAAAATCCTTTTGATTGACAACAACAATATCATCAACATAAGCTTACCGAGTGTAAACTATTTTTTCTATAGTTAACAAGAGTACCTTTCTTTTGAAGAAAAAACCAAAAAAAAAAAAAAAACCGCTAATCCTATTTAATAGATACTCCTTATCCTTTAGCCCTTTGATATGTAGTTGACCTGATCTTAATCTTTTCTTTAGGTTGATTGGAATCATCATGAGGTAATTTTTCCTTTATGCGAGTTGGATATCTGTAACTTTAACTGTTTCTTACCCTTCTGCAGAGAGGAAACCGTCACAGCGCTAGTCAGATTGGGTGCTGCTCCAGGCGCTGTTGATGACCCGACTCCAGCATTTCCAGGAGGGCAAACAGCTGCTGATCTAGCTTCAAATAGAGGGCACAAGGGAATTGCTGGATATTTGGCAGAAGCATATCTGACAAGTCAGCTTTCTTCGTTAAACATTAATGAAAATGAAATAACTGCAATAATTGACGCTAAAATTTCCAAAGAGATTGATGCAAAAGTTGTCACATCAGACTTGGGTTTTGATGACAATTCCCTGAAAGGGTCCCTAGCTGCTGTCAGGAAATCATCGCTTGCAGCTGCACTAATTCAAGATGCCTTCAGGAATCTTTCATTCCGTCATAGACAATTAACCAAGAGCCATAACGATAGTCCTGATAATTCACTTGACCTAGTTGCTTTGGGTTCTTTGAACAGAGGGCAAAAGTTTAGTCACTTTGAGGATTATCTGCATTCTGCTGCTAAAAGGATTCAAAAAAAGTATCGTGGCTGGAAAGGAAGGAAGGAGTTCTTGGATATTCGCAGTCGTATTGTTAAAATTCAGGTACTTTCAGTTTTACTGTTCTTTCTTCTGCTCCTTTGGTGTCAGTATATATTGTCTGCTTAGAATACAATTTAGAACCTTTTCGGTTGCTACTTACTGTTATTCTCGTTTGGTTTCTTCTATTTTCTCGTGTGACAATATGTACAATAGGAGAGAACATCAAGTCAAATTGTCCCAATTATGGATCTTAACTAAAGAAATAACCAAGCGAACGCTTTTACTTTAGAAGGGGCAATTGATTGGTACGGGTAATTGAAAGACTTGGAAATGAAAGATGGACTTATATCTATCGGCAATATTGCTGGTAAAAATAATGGAAGACTTGATGGACCAAACTGTTCTGTCATCAATCCTTTTCATTAACTCAGAAACTTAAAAGGATATTCAACAAGGAAACAAGATCAAAGCCTATTCTTCATTCATAGTGGAATAAGGTGAATTCCAGTATGAATTGAAGGAAAGAAATTTCCCAGCACTCACTTGGAATAGGAAAGAAATTGAATTTGATGCCTCTCTTCACTCTTTGCCTGTTTTCTTTATTTATCTTTTTGTCAGGGCTGGCTTATAGGGTGTGATACTGTGCCATATTTATTTTTTAAAACAAACGGGAATTAGATGCGTAATAATTGGAAGTTTAGGTCACGCTTAATGTTCTCCGTAACTGTGGTTTCTATGTTCAGGCTCATGTTAGAGGACATCAAGTTCGAAAGCAGTATAAAAAGCTTGTTTGGTCTGTCAGTATTTTGGAAAAGGTAATACTTCGTTGGAGAAGAAAAGGAGCTGGTTTGCGGGGATTTCGGGTGGAGAAAGTGATTGAAGATGCATCAAAAGATACAAAACGAAGTGATGAATATGAATTTTTGCGTATTGGGAGGAAGCAGAAACGTGCTGCAGTTGATAAAGCTCTTGCACGAGTCAAGTCAATGATTCATCATCCTGAAGCATGCGAACAGTATATGAGACTAGTTTCTAAATTTGATAAGTCAGGTAATTTTGCATTCTCATATTATTTCCTTAAATATAGTTGTCACAAACTCCCTATGGAGTTCCTTATTCCAGGTTCTTGCTGCTGCACAAATAGACTATTTTTGCAACACAGAATTGTTTATTGTGGACTTTTATGGCAATAACCCTACTACTGTTAATTGGCTTCCTCACCAGTCACCACAAGTTGTTGGTCCCTTCAAAAGCGTTACCAAATTTTCAGCCACAATACACAGAATGTGATTTTCCTAGCAACAATTATTGATCGGTTTTCTCACCATAACTCAAAAAGTTGTTTGGTTATGAATTTGTTCTACTCATGGTTTCTTTTGGTTCCAGGGTTGATTTCCGTAGATCTTGTAATTTGACATTTAGAAAATATTTTGTTAAGTTTCTCCTCTGCCATTTGTTCAAGCTAATTGAATCATATTTACATTTTATTTTTATTTCCTTTTTTTTTCATATACACAGATGAGTGACAAGGCGAATGAAGCGTCACAGGGTGTGGATAGTACAAAAGTTGTAAGTTATATGTGAAAAGAGTTGAGGACTCTTTCAAATGATAAGGCCTGGTAATATTCTTACCTTCTGACTGATGGTTTGACATATTTTCCTTTGGAGGATTTTTCAATTGCAGAAATTAGATAGGGGAAGGGGAAAATTTGTAAATGTTTCTTTCTTTGTATTTTTCATATTTCTTGATCTCAAAACTGTAATCAAATTTTTTCTGGTATGGGATTACAAGAGTAGAACAGTTCTTATATGAGAAATGATTTTAATTGACATCCTTATAGTGACAAGTAGTTCTCTATTTTCTATACGAGGAAAACAATTACTGGAAGATGGTTAAGAAATGGAAATTTAAATGATATGTGCGCATGTGAAAGCTGCCGAATTTGGTTTGTTTTTATGGTGATCCTTAATCGTTGCATGAGAGATGTTTTGAGCATCAGGAATTCTTTTTGTGTTTACTCATATGTCCTAACAAGGGCCCTAACTTTTGGATAATTGTTTGGGTAACCTTTTTTTTTTTTGAAAAATTCTTAGATAATCTTGACAACTAGTCCTTAAAAGTGCACGGATTAAAAATTTTTTTTTTATTTTTGATTCATAATCTTTTTAGTTAAATAATTACATTAACAAAATAGTATTTATTAAGAGTAAGGAGTAAAGATTCAAACTCATGTACTTTTAAAGTTAAATTTTCTATTTTTTTTAAAAAAATTTCTTTTATGATAAAAATAAGAAATTTTTTTGTCATATGTATTCTTATGGAAGCTTGTCTAAGAAGAGTCGCGTAGGTCTTGCTTCTCTTTGAAGAGCTTCCAACCATGGACAAAAACATCAAGATATTTATGGAGTTTTTCACGAAAGGTTCATTAAATATTGAAAATGTCAAAAAAATATCCAATTTTCTATAAGAAGAAAATTTGTAAAAGTCGACTCAGTGTGTGTATTTTTTATTTGTTTTTTTTTTAATTTCATAAATGCTTTCATCAGCTAAATAATAGATTTTCTCACTGGGCAAACTTTTACATCTCACAGTAAGTAAATGGCCAAAATGTGGCACGACCCAAAAAGAGGACCATAATTTTTGGGGGTTTAAATTAAAAATTAACCTAATTAAACGAGATTAATTAACCAAATTTAAATAATAAATTTTATAAAATAAATATTAAAAATATATTGCTTTAGAGTCTTTTTTTTCAAATAATACTAAAATAATTCATAAATTTACGATTTTTCTCAAAGTAGTATAAAGATTGTGCTGACTAATACAGTTTACATACGCAAATTACATTATAACTCAGAATCAAAAACTGTGAAATAAAAATAAAATGAACTATCTCAAATCTCATACCGTCAATTCATTAGAATCAATTTATTGCGTTGCAAATCAAACTGCTAAGTCTAGAAGAAGAAAAACATTTATAACAGGGGTGAGTTAAATACCCAATAAGGAGAAAATAGGTATAACGACAATAAAACAAGTAGAGTAAAATAATCAAAGTGACTCGAATACAATAGAAAATACAATGCATAATTCAAATGCAGGAAATGAAATTATGTGAAAAGACAACCAAATCACAATTGATATAGTGAAATAAAAAGTGAATTCAAAAGACTATATCATTCTTAAATCCATTTCAAAATTAATGGAATCTGGTATCTGAGTAGTCCATAAAATATTAGGTATTTTGTAATCCTAGTAGACACTAGAATATTCAAATTGATAGGTTAAAAAGTAAAGATAAAATCATACGCCGGTAGTTTAGTAGTTTGAATACTCTTTCAAAGTATCGATACGTAATTTAGTGCAAAGCCTCACTACCCACACTGCGGAGTGGTCAACAAGTCGAACAGTTACTATTCAATGGTCATTTTTTAATCGTTAAACAGCATGCTAAACGGCTCTTTTTTTATTTTTCTTCTATATAATGCCATTTTGAGCTCTAAAACATCAAGAGAGCCATAAAGAAAGTTCCTAACTTGTCTAAAACCTTTTAGAAACTCTTCCAATCTTACGTTGTGTTAATCTTCTCATTGTTTGACCATTGACTTCAAAATCACTCGAGCCTACCTTGTTACTTGTTTTGATTGAGTGATTCACACTTTTTCTTAGGATCAATCTTGTATCAAATTTGTTGACGGTTAAATTTCGCCAACAAAAAACCGACCGGATTACCTCTTGGTTTCCTCTCGGATTACCGGCCGTGTGTGTAGTTTAACGTATCGGGAGTTGATGGATATGTGTGTGCAAGTATTTACTAAATCTCGCATAGATAAATGACGCAAGAAAATTTATAGTGGTTCACTCAATAAATTTGAGAGCTACATCCACTGTAATCTTGTATTTCTTTATTTTTGGGAAAATCACAATTTACAATAATTGTTCTTAGTTGGAGTTTTTCGAACCCCCTCCTTGCTGGGGTCTTCCCCCTTTTATATTGGGCTTCCTTCGCTTAGGGGGTTTCCTTCATAGCTAGAAGCACTCAAGTGCTCTCCTTCGGTAGGCCTAGACGTAGCCCACTAATTGGCACTGTTCACTCAGCCAATTAGTCTTCTATTACGGCTCTGTGCTTCTCCGTAATACTTTTCTGTCCCCTGTGGGAGCGGTCTGACAGCTTACAATTAATGCCTGCAGACCTCCTCCTCTTCTGCACGTAACCCGTCACGTCCTCCAAAGAACGTTCCTCTCGTCGTCAGCACTACTTAGCCTAACTGCCTTCTTCGGTGGCCCTTTCTGCGGTTGAGAGATCTTCATCTCTTAATGTCGACGGCACAATCAGTCGACGTCATAAGGGATCGTCGCCCTAACTTAGACTTCATCCTTGGGCCTTCGTAGTGGAATAGGAGGGGTCCGTAAGCGTCGAGGGTTCCTTGCCTGGTGGGGATTCAGTCAAGGCCACGTGTTGCGGTCTACTTCGTCCACGTGTCCGTCACATTTTCCCACACAACAAAATTCATTAAAAGGAAAGTATTTTAAGTGATCTTTGAAAAACAAATATCTTCATCCTCATAAGTTGTTAATCCCGTGTAATTAATTTGGTGCGTAAAGGATAGTCAACATCCTAAGTTAAAGTTTGACTATTGTAAAAGATTGTGATAAGCCTCGGGTAGAAGTCAATGTCTTTGTATTCGAGTGATCGAACTGAAAAGACGATAGGTTGTTAATCCCGTGTAATTAATTTGGTGCGTAAAGGATAGCCAACATCCTAAGTTAAAGTTTGACTATTGTAAAAGATTGTGATAAGCCTTGGGTAGAAGTCACCGTCTTTGTATTCGAGTGATCGAGCTGAAAAGACGACCGAATATAGTGGAAGTGTTCAAGTAGTGGTAGAAGAAGTCATCGTCTTTGTATTGAAGTGATCGAACTGAAAAAATGACCGGATATAATAGAAGTGATCAAGTAGTGGTTTGCATGGTGACAATTGATGAAGGCATCTAACCAATTTATTATAAATTGCGTTTGCATTCTCTTACTCTTACTAACTTACATTTTAATTTGTCTTTGTCTTAGATCGATTTGATTCTTGTAATTGAATTTATTGAGTTTCTTGTATTCTATTGAAGTGCTTGATATTACCTCTATCTTGTGTTCGATAAAATTACCGTGCCATGATTATCATCGCGATTTACTCTAATTTTCAATAATTATTATAATTTTGAAAAACATATTAAAAATCCAATTCACCTAGGTAGTTATTCTTGAGATAACGTATAATGTCCCTTATTAACCGATTTTAAAAAATGACACCTAAGACGTATATTTTATAAATGGAAGTTTGACAGGAGGACTATTTTAACCAGTTTTGTATTGAGCAGGGTGTGAGAATGTTATTTTTTAAAGATTAGGAGCCATCTTGAAAGTGTATAGCTTCAGGTGTTGTTTTTAAAATTAATCTCTTTTTCCAAAAAAAAAAAAAAAAAAAAAAAAAAAAAAAAAAAATTCAATGGATCATGCTAAATGCAATAGACACGCGGGAGAAGAGCAATAGCCTCTCTAATGACATGAAGCCAAAACACATGCCACGTTTCCTTCATGCACCACACTTTCCCACCCTTTTATAATACTCTCACCCACCACCCCCCCTTCTCTTCATATCAACTTCAACTTATAAGAGAGAGAATTCTAACAATCAAAAATAAAAAAAAATAAAAATCATCAGAAATATCTAGCAATTTTGATTTTGGAAGTGAAAGTGAAGATGCCAGGACTCACTATTGGAGACACAATCCCCAACATTGAAGCTGAAAGCACCCATGGAAAGATCATTCTCCATGACTACATTGGCGATGCTTGGGCTATTATCTTCTCTCATCCTGGTAACTCGTGATATGTATTATAATTCAAATATAATGTCATACATACGTACATATATATACACATACGTGTCAGTGTTTTCCATGAATATTTCTGTTTTTTTTTTTCCTCTGAAATTTGTCATAAAGGTTTTGCATGATCAATACTGATTCGTAGTAGTTATATATATGATCAAATTTCTTCCTTAAAACAACTTTGGCTTATGTACTTATGTGCCATAGTTTAGCTATTTGTCATTTTTGTTTCTTTCTCTCTTTTTTTCCCCCTTTTTTAGCTATGAGTAGCTATTATGTAATAGACACCAGATATATTGCATAATATACTAAAAAAGTAAGTGTGTATATATATATATATATATGTACATAAATGTAGGTGACTTCACGCCCGTATGCACAACGGAGCTGGGTAAGATGGCGGAGTATTCAGGGGAATTTGCAAAGAGAGGAGTGAAGCTTGTTGGCTTGTCCTGCGATGATGTCCATTCTCATAAGGAGTGGATCAAGGATATCGAAGAATACACCGTCAGTTTCTTTCTTTCTTTCTCTTTTTTTTTTTATGGTGCTTGAATTTTAAATAGGCACACAAATAAAAACAAAAAGAATGCCATTAAAAAAAAAAAAGAATAAGAGAGAGAGAGAGAGAGTTTGTGTCACAATGTTATATAACCAGACGAATTAGCATATAAAAATCATCTTTAGAGATTCGGGTAGTTTTATGGATTTCAAAGTACCACAAGATATTCTTAGCCAAAAGAGGAGTTAGCATAAGGATAAGGTGTAATTAAACAGTATCGTCTACATTAATTTTTTTTTTTTTAAAAAATGTTAAATATCATCTCTAGTTTGAGAAATAGAATAAAAAAACATTATGAATAAATATCTGGTTGAAAATCAGAAGAAGCATATATAGAGAGGCCCTAAAAGATTTTGATTTTGTTGTAATTAATTAAACAAGTATCATACATATAATAAACATCTAGTCTGTACCGTGGAAGTATTAATATAATTAGATATCTACAATCTCATAATATATCTTTTGACTAATAAAGTTTATGGTTTGGGCTGCTTTGGTTTTGAAGCATTTATATCCCAACTAGATATGATTGTTCCTCCATTCTTAGCCTACTATAAAAATATAGATATAGATACGACGCAATGCTAATTTAAACCGTTGAATATATTAAGTACTTCTTGAGCTGGAAAATGAAGGCGAGTTATTTGTCGTAATTAAAACAAGTACTATATATCATATAGTAATTAAACAATCAGTGGAATGGAGAATTGCTAAATTGAGATTTTAAAATTGTATCTTTTTTTGTTTTTTGAGTGAAAATTGGGATCTTAAAATTGTACTTTTGTTGTGTATATCTAGTTATTATTTTGATGATGTGATATTGGATTATGCACCATCAAAGAATTAAGTGCAATTCTGTCTGTGCAATTATAATATTAAGCAGTATGTTAATTAGTGATATCGTTTTGAACAACCAGTAGCACATCTAATATTAATAGCATATTTGTGTGCACATTGATCATATCAATATATGCAGAGCGGTTGCAAAGTGAACTACCCAATCATGGCCGACCCCAACAGGGAGATCATAAAGCAGCTCAACATGGTGGACCCTGACGAGAAGGACTCGTCAGGAAACCAACTGCCGTCGCGGGCCCTACACATTGTGGCGCCAGACAAGAGGGTGAAGCTGAGCTTCCTATACCCGGCCAGCACGGGGCGCAACATGGACGAGGTGCTAAGGGTGCTGAACTCCCTCCACAAGGCTGCCAACTACAAGGTCGCCACCCCGGCCAACTGGAAGCCAGGCAATCGTGTCGTCATCTCCCCCAACGTCTCTTCCGACGACGCTAAGCGAATGTTCCCCGGTGGATTCGAAACCGTCGACCTCCCGTCCAAGAAGGAGTATCTGCGTTTCACCAACGTGCAGTGAGCTTGAAATAATTATGTGTCACATACTTGTATGAAAATGCAGTACCATATTATATACAGATGTAATGTACCAAGTATAATAATGTTGTAGTTTGTACTACAACCTGTTTGTACATATTTTGTAGAAAACGCTCTTGTGCTACGTATATATATATATGTGTGTGTGTGTATGATGATTTTATGACCGTCTTAATCTTCGCAAATTGTTCGCCATCTGCTGTTAGAGAGATTCGGATTTGGGAGGATGAAAAGAATGGAGAATGCAGAAAGATGAAAAGAATAGATAATGCAGAAAGAAGGGTTTGAGGCATATAGGAATACTTTTCTTTAAGTTTTTATTTGCCCTCACTTTTCAAAGTTTGCTAACGAGTTCTAAAATGGTAAATTATTCTCAAGATACAACAAACCCTTGAACACAATATCCAGTAAAAATATTGAGTTTCAGAACAATTATATCGTTTGTATTTTTTTTGAAGACAAACATAAAAGGGGATGCATCCATCATCTTTAAGTGTTACAACCTTTCACATAAAGATATATTTTCAATTTGATGGTTATCTTTTATATGTTGATACACTTATATCAATAGTTATTTCTATTGTTAATAAGTGTTCAGATATGTGAGAAAACATATCACAAATAGATGCAATGGTTTGAGACTTTTTCATATCACTAAAACACACGAAAACACATTTTCCGTCGACAATTTGCGCTGCAGCGCGCGGGCTTAGCAAAATAGACCCGAGAGGTCTGTTTTGCGCAGGCTGCAGCGCTCAGGGCGCGCTGCAGCGCACGCTTCTGTGCGCTGCAGCGCGCGGGCCTAGCAAAACAGACCCGAGAGGTCTGTTTTGCACAGGCTGCAGCGCCCAAGCACGCTGCAGCGCGTGCTTGCGTCAACCCACTCTTCCCGAATGTGTTTTAATCCAATTTTGTGATATTAAAATTGAGAGATATATTACAATCTCTCTAACATCTGTTTGGCCAGGTCCTTAATTAGGAATTACTGCAGAAGGGAGCAGAAGGGTTACTGCAAAGACTATTAGGAATTACTGCAGAAGGGTTACTGCGAAGACTCTAGATCTGTTGCTAGTTTTCTTTAATTCTTGTCAATAATTTTGGTTGAAATTAGAACGTGAAATGTTGATTTTATGCTAAGATGAGAAAATGAATGGATATGAGGTGAAATTAGAATTTCGACATGATGCAATCATGCAATGCTGAACGATGCCCTTATCTTCTCTGGCAATATTATTATTAACCAAAAACTAAAGTTTGGCTGGAGGGAGATCTCGTGGTTTAATAAAAAATTAAGGCGGTCATTAGGGTTGTACTCGGTCGTTCTGAACATCTTTTGGGAGTAAACTTTTAGGAATATCCTTTAAAGAGTAGATCTTCGCAGTTTTGCCAAAGAGACCCTTCAACGAACCACTAGGTCAACAATACATGATTTCCCAATATCATCCCGCTATGTTAAAAAGGTAATCTATAAGAATACCAAAAGTAATCTATCAAATGTCATTTGGAAAACAATCATCGGTTACCGGCGTTGGCCGTCAACGAAGAGGAATTTGGTAGATAACAAAAAATAATCTACCATAATAATTCTTATAATCTACTAATTAATTTTTTTTCTAAATGAAAAATAGTTGGTCTTCAATCTATAGTGCTGATTATGAGAAAGGAATTTAGTAGATTATTTTTTATAATCTACTATAACCAATCGTCTCACATGGTTAGCGTGAAAAAAGAATCTTATAGATTATTTTTTATAAATTATTAGATTATTTTTTTCTTTATTTTCAACTAAAATTGTTTGGTTGTTCACTGTGGCCGATGCCAATTATTGAAGATGAATCTGTTAGATTATTTTTCGTAATCTATCAGATTATTTTTTATTTTCAACTAAAAAATTAACGATCATCCCTAATCACTGTCGGCGTTAGCCATCAATCAATAAGATTTTCAGGATTGAAAGTGCAACTACAAAATTGCATGTATAATTACTTTAATGTGCACTTATGCAGTATTTGTTTTGCTATTTTTTCCCCATGCCTCTCAAAATATGTTTCAGAATAAAACAAAGGACATGTTTGGAGTTAGTTTTGGGATTGTTCTTTTACATTTTTGAGTTATGATGACTTTAGTGATGATCTTGAGTTGAGTTTGAGTTATAACTTGAGTTGAAGTTGTAACTTGAGTTTATGTTTGAATGTGCACATTTGAGTTATGATTTGAATTGAAAATCTATTTGAGTTTATGTTTAGGTGAGTTAAAACTTAAATTTGTATTTATATTGTATTTTAATAAAAACTCAATGGTGATGAAAAATTTTAATAGGGTATATAGGTGATGTTTTATTCGTCTTTTTGTTGTGAATGCATAGAAAAAAAATCATCTCAATCAGAATTAAAACGAAAAAGTTATAGCATTTTTAAGAACAGAAAAAATATTGTTCATTAACTTGAGTTCGAGTTAAAGGGGAAACTTGAACTCGAGTTTAGTCTCAAACCCGAGTTCAAACTCGAGTTTAAACTCAAATTTTACAAAAGAACATGAACTTGAATAAAGTTGTAACTTGAGTTCAAACTTTTTCTGAGTTTTGTTGCAAAAGAACAACCCATTTGTTTTTGTTTTTCACGTTTTTCGATAAAAAAAAATAAAAACGGGAGAGAAACAGCGTTTGACACAATTAATATACAAAATAAAAATAAAAATGATTTTTTGGTTTAGTGTAAAATGAAGTCGTTTTTCATTTTTTATTTCCGTTTTTTCCTCTCTCGAGCACAGAGAGAGAGACATTAATAGATTTTATATACTGAAAATAATCTCTTGATAAAATTATCAAACATATTTTTAAAAATAATTTCTATTTGAAATTAAAAATATTTTTATTTTCATTTTTATACAAAAAATAAAATTATTTTAAAACGAGTTCTAGACGTACCTAAATTTTCTCTCACCTATTATCTCGCTCTGTCTCTCTAATAACTCTATCTCTCTCCTCTCTCCTCTCTCCCCCTCTCTCCTATTCTCTCGCTCTATCTCTCTAATAACTCTGGGCTTGTTCTTTTGAGTAAAAAACTCAAAAAAATATAACTCGGGTTATAACTTTATTCGAGTTCATGTTCTTTTAAGTTTAAACTCGAGTTTAAACTCGAGTTTAGGACTAAAACTCGAATTCAAGTTTCCCCTTTAACTCGAGTTCAGAAACTCGAACTCAAATTAATGAACAGTATTTTTTCTATTCTTAAAAATGCTATAACTTTTTCGTTTTAATTCTGATTGAGATGATTTTTTTTTCTATGCGTTGACAACGAAAAAATGAATAAAACCCGACCCATATACCATATTAAAATTTTTCATCAACATTGGGTTTTTATTAAAATACTATCTAAATACAAATTCAAGTTTTGACTCACTCAAACACAAACTCAAAAAGATTATTATCTCAAACCATAACTCAAATGTACACAACTAAACACAAACTCAAGTTACAAGTTCACTCAAGTTATAACTCAAATTCAACTAAAAAATTATACTCAAATTAAACTTTAAAAAAACAAGCCCTCTATCTCTTTAATAACTCTATTCTCTCCTCTCTCCCCCTCCCGACAAACCCTGTCTCTCTCCTCTTTATCTCACCATTGAGTAAGATCGGCCAAGCCCAACCCCTCTCTCTCTCTCTCTTCTCATAAGTGCATAAACGGGCTCCAATTTTTTATTTTTATTTTTTCAGTGGACTTTTTTAACAGAAGGTCCTTTTCAAGCTCTGATTTTTCATTTTTATTTTGAGAAATTTTTAAAAATATCATTCTTTTTATTTCTACAATTAAATATTAATTTATATATTTTTACTGTTTAGACTAAAACTAATCAAAAAGTAAAAATTTTTAAAAGAGTACTTCTAATAAATCATAATTCTTAAACATAAAATTAAAGAGAGAAAAAAAAAAAGAAAAAGGAATGGGGGGTATATTATTTTAAATTTTAATAATAAAAAATAGGGACATGTCTTATTATTGAGTGGCAATAATTATGGAAGACGCGGATTGTTGACCAGCCTTGTTGGTTTTACTGCACCAATCGCACGTATAGTGGGCCTAACCCAAGGAAAAACGTCTCAGCACTTGTATCGAAATATGTGCTCTTTTTGCCTTCAGATTTCACGGGCAACAGCTAATGCCTCATGTCATGGAATACATTCACATTAGGCTCCTTCCTCATACAGCTCTCTGTAACCTTTTGGTTCATCAGTAATTTTAATTTTAAATTTAAATTTTATGAAGAATTTATTAGTAAAAATTTCTTTGATTTAAATTTATTGTGAGAGAAGAAAGTCAGAATCATAAGTTTTAGTTGTCTTGAATTTCCTATAAATATGTGTATATATAAACCGTGGCTTACAAGTGGACCTCATTGGCTAACCCTACCCTATCTACATTGTACAGTTACTAAGGACTTGTTTAGTTTATTAATTTGAATTAAGATGTGATTTTATGTGAGAGTTTTTTACTGTAGTAAAAAAATTACATATGACTATTTTTTAGAACTTTTTACTGTAATAAAACTCGAATCGGTAAAATGAACGAGGTCTAAGTAAAAAAAAAAAAATAGGCATTTAAATATCAAAAGTGCATCTCATTTCTCGCTAACCTGAGACTCGCCCACTCCTCAGTGGATATATAGCATATATATTTGCAAGGACTTTTATTGAAGGGTAATTATAGCTAATAGTTTGTTTGGAAGGTTGTGATAAGTTTGAACTTAGAAATCAATCAAAGTCCTTGTTTAGTTGCATTAATTTGGATTTGCGTTTCAACCCCAAAACTTGAAGGTTTTACCAACTTTACCTTTGAGTTTTTTGGATTCTAACATAAAATACAATTTATTACACTCATTTTCACTCACATTTTTTAAAATCACATAATTCTAATAAATAACTAAGGTCTCGTTCACTTTACAGATTCAAATTTTTAATTCAAACTGAGATGTAATATTTTTTAGAACTTTTCACTATAACAGAAAAAGTTTGATGTGACATTTTCGGAGAGTTTTATTGTAAAAACATAAAACTGAAAACTCAAATTAATAAAGTGAACGATACCTAAATACTGTCTCAAACTTTATTTCATATTTAAATTTTATACTATCAAATTATCAATTCGAATCACTAAAGATCCCACGTATAAATTTAAACATAAAAAAAAAATTCAAATATTTAAACCCACACAACTCGTAATCCGCGAGGCAAACGGGCTAGAGTGCCACTGATCGATTTCAGACAAATTGTCAAACATGTGGATCCCACAGCAGCCTGTGCCCCGTTTCAAAGGAAGAAAGAAAGAAAAAAGCAATCCTAATCCTAGCATAAAAGGAGCAATCTCCGGTCACTTTTCCTCTACTACTGCCTTTGGTCCTGAACATCTTTATCAGATATCACCATCCATTTCTCACTTTGATTCCATTCTCCCCAGTCTCTATTACCATGACACTAACACGCCTATTTCTTACTCACAAATACGTCCTACGAACACTGACACTGACACTAGTAGCACTACACTCCCTCCCCTCTTCCGCCGCCGGCGCCGCCATCGCCCTCTCGCCGTGCCGCAACTCCTGCGGTAACATCGCAATAAAGTACCCTTTTGGCGTCGACGATGGGTGCGGGGCCCCACAATTTCGGCACATGCTGAATTGCAATGCCAGCGACCTTTTCTTCGTCACCCCTTCCGGGAACTACAAGGTGCAGTCCATCGAATACGACAAGCAAAACGTCGTCGTGTACGACCCCGCCATGTCGACGTGCTCCATTCTCCAGCCTCATCATGATTTCATCATGACGGACATTCAGTCGGCGATTATACCGCCGTCCTCGGACACCGTGTTTGCGCTGCTCAACTGCTCCGTCGACTCGCCGGTGCTCAACCACTACAAGAATCTCTGCTTCAACTTCTCTGGCCACTCCTGTGATGAGCTCTACTCTGCGTGCAATGCCTTCAGGGTCTTCCATTTCTTGACCAACTCTTCCCCACCATGTTGCTTTACCGGGTAAAGATCAAACTTTATGTGGGATATTTATGTGTGTATCTCACTAATTAATTAAACAATTATTTGTGATTTGTGGCTATTTAAAATTTTCTAGTTATAATGAGTAGGGGCTTCAATTGATGGGACAAGTAAAACTTTTATCAGGGTTATTGGTGCTTAAACTTTTAGGATTATGACAAAATTCAAGCATAATGTACAAGCAATTAATCAGATGTTGATCCATGAAAAAATCGATGATTTGAGGTGCTATAGCATAATGACCTACCCAAAAAAATCAATGGTTGAGATTTTTTTTTTTTTTTTTTTTACCATTATTTAGCTACTGAAAAAGGTGTTAATTGCATTGTTGGTGGACCAGTATCTTTTGGCGAATAGAAATATAAGCCGTTTAGTTCGCAGATTTGAGTTGAAATGTGACTTTATATGAGAGTTTTTTACTGTAACAAAAAAGTTAGATATGAATGTGTCTGAGAGCTTTTTATTGTAACAAAACTCAAATTTTAAACTCGAATCGATGAAATGAACGGGGTTATAATGTTTGCACAAAGTTATTTGTATAATCCCATCCATTTCAAGTCTACTTCCTTAACTTACCTTTTCTCATTCTATATATTCTCGAATTTAACAAATTTGGTAAATATGTATACACCTAATTGATTGACCGTTTTATATTTGCTTTCATAGGTATGACACGGTGAGGTTCATGAGCATGAATATCTTGGACTGCACACACTACACCACCGTGCTCAACACTGATGGCTTGAGAGGCATAGGACCCCTGGACTGGGTTTATGGCATCAAACTCTCCTACACATTTCCCGACACCGGTTGCGGGAGATGCGCGCAATCAGGCGGCGTTTGCGGGTTCGATACCGAGACCGCGGGGATGCTCTGTCTCTGCTCTCCTTCTTCAAATTCGACAAGACAATGTGGTAAGAATAAGCTTCACACCACTTGAATGAAAATTGTGGCCCGTTTAGTTGTGGTCTTGTTTTATTTTTGCAAGTGTCAAAACAAAATGGGACAAGAAAAACAAGGTTTGTGTCTGTTTTTAACAAAAACTAAAAATAGCGAACTGGCATTCTCACTTAGGCCCATTTGGTTCCTAGACCAGAATTCAAATTTTTCTGAGAAAAAATGTGGTAACAAAACTCTTTAAATTCAAATCTTTGTTAAACAAACATTGTTTGGACCAACCTCTAAACCAACAAGGTCTTATTGATTCCAAAATAAATCACGTCCACCCTATTTATTATTTATTAGTCTTTTTTATTCATATATATAGTTACGTTTTTATTAGTAGTTATCATCAAATATAAAAATATGATAAAGTGATGTGATCAAAATCCAGCTCTATTAATTGTTATAAATTTTTTAGTTAACTATATATTATTATAACTGTCAGATTAATATCTTACTGTTAAAATAATGATATTTATTTATGAATAAATATTGAAGTAACAATTAAAATCACAGTCATACATATAGCGTAGGAGGTAGAAAACTTTTCAGTAGGGCATAATGAAAAAATTTTGAGATAACTTTTTCACTCAATACAGATATAACTTATATTTTAGGGTTAATCTCAAATGGTCTATGTGCTTTATCCTCAATCTCATTTTGGTTTTTAACTTTTAAAACGTCACACAATTGGTCCATAAGGTTTTATTTTGTTTCAATTTCGATCTTTTCCGTTATGTAAGTGTTAAATTTTTTATGCAATTTGTGAAAATTAAGAACTAAAATTGAAAACATTAAAAGTTTATGACTAAAATAATACAAAAAAAGAAAGTTGATTTCTATAAATAGTCAAGTTTTAGATGTTACTAATTTTAGTCCATAATTTACACATATTTTATTAAATATTTAATACCTAGCTAACAGAAAGACCGAAATTGAAACTGAGTAAAACCTCAGGGACCAAATGCAATACATTTTAATAAAAGTTAAGACCAAAGTGGAGTTGAGGGTAAATCTTGGAGACCACTAGTGGGATTAACCTTATATTTTAATCATTCAATGCATGCACAATTATATTTTTTATACTTTAGGGATATTGCTGAAATTTATTAAAAACTCTATGGATAGAAATCAAATTTTTAAATTTAAAGTGAAGGCAAGTATCATATGTGAGTAAAGTAATACTAGGAATACTAACTCAAATCTTAATTTTTGTATAAAAATTGATATGATATGTAAGTTGTCATCTTTTTATTGATAGATGTAATATCTTATCATTAATTTACATGACATTGTTTTAAATACTCACAATGTAAAAATGACAATCACATGTCATATCAGTTAGTATACAAGAGTTGAGATTTGAGTTCGTGTCCCCATCATTATTAGCTATATATATGAGTATGGTTTTAATGGTTATTCTAACATTTACCTGTCAATAGGTATTATTGTTTCAGCCGTAAAGTATTAGTCCGATGTTTATAATAAATTAGATAGTTGGCTAAAAAATTTGTCACAATCAATAAAACTGAATTCTTATCACGCTACATTATTAAATTTTTATATTTAATGACATGATTGGAATGTAAAATTGAAACTGGTCTATATATACATTACATATAAATATACATATATATATATATATATATCATTAAAACACGATTTCAATTATGTATTCCAAAATTTCAGTTCTCAGGCTACTTACTGATGCTCCCCGCCTAACTTTTTTTTTTTTTTTTTCTTTTTCTTTTTGGGATCAGGAACTGGTAGTTTTACTGCGGAAGGACAGAGACATAGTAGTATTACCTGGCTAACTCATTTCTTTGGGTCTGTTTTGTTTTTTTTCATGACTAAGATAATGACATGATTAGCCAAATATTGTCGATAGAGAACTCTTCTCTTTGGAAATATATAAATGTTATTCATTATTTTGTTATTATTATAACTGCAATGGTTCATTATTAGTTATTATATGCTAATTAGTGTCGACAGCTTATCATCCTACAAGTTTATTAATTGTGTGGGTACTGGGTACTTTAAGAGGTTCAATAGTGAAGACGAAGGAATGCCATGCTTTTGCTATCCTCTCCCCCAAAATTGACCCAAAAAAAAACACATATTATAGGTTAAATTGATTTACATTTTATTAAATAGTAGTGTACTTATATATTGTAAATAAATTGCATGTTCTAACTAGTGTACATGTGTGTATATGATGCATAGTGTGCATGTTATGAAGTAACTATATATATGAGATCGATCATAATTTTTTTTTTAAGCTATACGATAATATAAAGGAGATAGTTTTCAAACAAATTTTACACAATAAAAATAGTGGTAAATGCTAATTTTTTTAAAAAAAATAGTATCTAGTGTTGAAAATAGTCTAGTCAATTTCCGGCTACCAAATTGGTGGCAAATTATGATGTTTTGCTACCGAATTGTTGATTTGGTAATAAAAAATAATTTTTTGCTACCAAATAACATATTTGGTAGCAAGAGGTCTTTAAAGTGTAGTTTTTAAATATATGCTTTTTTCTTTTTTGTTCATATCACGAATAAATGAAAATAACATGTTTAATATAATTTAAATACATAGTATAAGTCAAATTGATTTACATTTTCTTCATAGTACATCTCGTGTTCACTAATTAGTATATACATGTATATAATTCATAGTATGATATAATGTAGACATAAGATTTATTGTAACATTGTAGAAGTAAAGATAAAGTGGATGTGTGACGCCTCCTCACAATTACTTTCATAACATCTATTCTCATTGTAAAACATGAGTTTGTAAAGTTAAAAATAAGTAAATAATGCAAAGATATCTTGGAATATTTTTAATAAAATATGAAACAAGATTTATTAATAGCGAGGTGTACTTCATAGGGATTGAGGCGTTACAAGATGTTAAACATATCTTATATGAGAAAGAAAGTGATAAAAACACATTTAAAAAAAATAATAATATCTATGTCATTGCATTAAAAATAATCTAATCAATATAACTTTTTAAAAAAAATAAATAATATGGCTTTTTATGCTGAAATTTGATAACGGAATAAGAATTTTTGCTACCAAAACCAGTCATGAAGATTTTTTTTAAATTTTTGCTGTCAGTTAAACTGTTGCTTATAGTATGATGTTTGACATTAATCTCTGCATGAGCTCATAGCTTATGACTTGTCAATTTTCTTATTAGATGTTTGCTGAAGCTTATGAGCTATAATGGCATTATGTCAATTTTCTACAACATTTTTGGCCTTTTCCATTCCTAAAATAGTGGAAAAAAGTTTAATTTTAGGTAGTTTTCTTCATGATTGGATTTTGTTTGCTTATGTAAGAATTTTTTTACTGAAACAAGCATGTATATTGTGAATGGAACACTTGTTGCAACAAGATGGCAAAAAGCAAAACTTATGAACAAGAATGAGCTAGGAGAAACAAGAATTATAAGTTAATAATTTTGTTTTATTACTTGTAATTTCTCCTTAAGAAACTATTGTTTCACTATTTTTTTTAATTTTATTTTGTAAGACTGTAAGTGACCCGTTGTTATACATGGAATTTCTTCAAGTATAACTATTGGAAGATTATTATGTATTTTAAGAGATTTGGAACTATTTATATGTACGAGACATTTTGTTTGTTATCTTTATCATTTTTAGTATTTTCAATGTATAAATTCATGAAATTTTAGGTTTTGTGACCAAATATGTCACTTTTTGAAAATTAAGAAAATCGGTGAAATATTTTTGACTAACAAACTATTGGTAATAAAATTATTTTACTACTAAATTGACTCCTATCAGAATATAATCTATCAAACATTCTTGCTACCAAATATTCTGAGAGTAATAGGTGTTCGCTACTGAAATATTTGTTGAAAAAAATAGTTTATTAAGCCATTTTAAAGGCTCATTTTGAGGCTCATATTCGGATGGGCCCTAATAGGTTTTTAAGACGGGTCTTGATGGATTTGCGTTCTTCGTCGTGAGGAGATCAAAATCGAGTATTCATACACTCAAAATGGTTTTTGGGTGAATGAGAAATTGATGTTCTAAGTATGGTACTTAGAATAGTAAATATAGAAGGAAAAATTGCAAAAATCCCACATTGGCTAGGAGTGAAGCCAATGTGGTATTTATAAGTGATTGCACTTTGAAATCTAAGTAAGCATGTATACCAAAAAGGTTCTCTCACGCGCAAAGGTGGTGTGAATCACGGTCCCTGTGGGTTTGGGGCTTAATGTGTACCAACACAAATGTTGGACCAAAAAATTCGCTCCGTACGAGCTTATTTTTGCGATTTTCATTTTTGCTTCAGCCAAGTCCTTCCAGCTTCCAGCCGTTTGGCATTAAGCAATGCTGGTTAATAAGCAGAATAGGGACTTAATGGTGATCAATGAAGGAAAACGGAATTAAGCCAAGGTTAATACGCTTTTAAGGCTTCAATTTTCCATCATCAAAAACTGAATCTTCATGCAAAGTGTGGCCGGATTCATCATGGAATTCTAACCATTTTGCTGTAGAGTTATGGCTGATTTTAAACACCATTAATCCAGGAATAAATCTTGGTGTAACACCCGGATTTTACAGGCTATAAAAGGGGCCTCTCCAGCCTTGGAGAGACACACCTCCACAGACCATTCTCATCTCTCTCTCTCCTCTCTTGTGTTTTCTGAATTTCTTTGTGAAGCTCTTGTTGTTCATTTTTTGTGATAGAGGAAAGATCAAGTTCTAGTTCGCCGGACGGTTCCGATAGTGCATCGAGTTACCGTCGTTGTCGTTGTATCCTGGGAGACGGATGTCCAACGTTGCCTCAAGCACTCACCGGAGGGGACGAATCTATTTTAAGGACAACGTGGTTCACGTGCCTCGACATTCATACAATTCCAATTTTTCCAAATTCCATAGAAAAGTTGATTTCGGGTTGTAACAATTTCATTATTCTGTTCTTTCTTAATTTATTGTTTTTCTTTGTATTATCCATTATTTTGTCTAACAATATTTGGTAGTAAATAACTTCTACTACTAAAGTGTCTTTAGCGGATTTTCACATCTTTCGCTGCCAACTGTGTATTCATTACTAATTTTTTTAAGTAACTAAAGCTTTTTCCTACTAAAATTTTTAGTAGTAAAAACATTTTGCTATCAAATATTAGGTAGCAGATTCTTCGTGTTTTGCTATCAAATGTGTATTAGCTACTAGTTTTTTTTTTTTTTTTTTTTTTTTTTTTTTTTTTTTTTTTTTTTTTGTAGCTAAAGCTTTTCACTACTAAAAGTTTTAGTAGTAAAAACGTTTTGCTACTAAATATTTAGTAGCAGATTCTTCACTTTTTGCTACCAAAATATAGTAGCTAAACAACTAGTTCGGGTCTATTTTTTCGAGACCAAGTTGTTCAATATTAGTTACTAAAAGTTGGTAGGAGAAACTTTTACTACCAAAATTTTTTTAATAGCAAAATTTTTTTACTACCGGCTTATAGCAACCACAAATTTTTGGTAGCGAAAAATTTTTTACTATCAAAATTAAATGTTTTTGCTACCAATTTTTTGGTAGCAAAAAATCAAAATTCTTATAGCGTGTAGCAGTCCAGTCTCCCAAACCCATTTATACTATTCAAAAAGATCAGTCTGTGAAGACACTTGTCAGAAGTTCAATTGTGGTTAAGTAGTTCAATTTCAAATTTTTTAAAACGGGGACTAAAATAAAGAAAATTTACAAAGTGAGGGTTTTATGCAATTAATTTTTAAAAGAAATTTTAAATTCATTTTTATATTTTAAGATGCAAAATATGGTTTTAGACGATTTTAGGACCCGACCCGCCAAGCAAGAAATCATGTAATTTAGGCTGAGGGTAAAATAATAATTTTAATTATTAATTAGTATTGTTAATTAATTAATATTAAGCTAAAGGAAAAATAATCCAAAAAAACTTATGGGTAAATTTTTAAGAAAATCCCATAAGACAAAATAATTGAATTAACTGTCAATACGGAAAATAAGAATAATTAGTTTGAGAAAATTTATTATTAAATTATGATAATATTACTGAAATTCGATAAGTTTTAAATAAGTTTAAAATTAATTAGGATTTTTCTCAATCGACAAATTACAAAATGCACAACTGACACTGGAGTGTCAAATTACAATAGGGCACATGTCAATTGAGAACCATGCAAGGAATACGACTTAGGATAATGCTGGCGCAAAATCTAAGTACAAACCTCACCTACAAAATTAAACATGTTTGTTCTCGTATGAATCTATGTTGTGTTACACTATGTTTGCCAACATTATTTATTTTTATGCCTCTATTAAATATGTAATAATTGTTATTTATGACATCATGCAAGCATGTTCACTAGGCAAAAAAGAGGATAATGAGATTCAATTAAGTGTCGTACCAACTTCTACTATGTGACGATTTTACGAAATGATATAAAAGACCGGTAATTTTAAACATGACGCGATAAAATGACACGAGATAAATAAGTTTAGACCACACGATTATTAATTGAGTCGTTAACAAACTGACATAAATAATATAAAAATAAATATACTGCATTTGTGTCAGCTCGTTTAACATACTTACCCCGGATCATTATCAAGCCGACACGACCCCACCCATTTATTAAGCCTATATATATAAATATATATATATATATATATATATATATATATTACGATAAAACCCTAACTTCTCTTTCTCTCATTCTCTCAGTGTCACCCGCCTCACCCATTCTCTCAGTCTCACCCGCCTCACCCGCCTCCCTCACCCGCAGTTTCTGTCTCTTTCTCTCATTCTCTCAGTCTCAATTTTTCTTTTACTCTCTCTTCTCTCATATTCTTACACCCACTTTTTCTCTGTTTTTCTTCCACACCAATGTGGTCTTCTAGTGTTGTTCCAAGGGAATTTTCGCTGTTTGCCTTTCTTCTTGCGGTGGGTTTTGGATTTCTGAGTCTGTGTTGGTAAGCTTCTTTCCTTATGGTGCCGGGTTGTTTCTTTTATTTATTTATTTATTTGAAGGAAACTTGAAGTAATATCATCAGAAAAAGAGGTGGGCGAAGAAACTACTAGGTTTCTTTTCATACCTTTCTTTCTCTTGCAGGAAATATATGCTATGGCCCTTTTGTAAAGCTTCCCAGTGATTGTCAAGAACTATCTCTCTGTTGCATTTATTATTTATCTTTTCTGGATTCTCGCCATTGTTGAAGTGAATATCTTCTTGTTGCCTGTGTAAGTAAAGTACTATATGTTCTTTATGAATGTTGGCAAATTTTAATTTTTCATGCCAGTTGTCATTTATTGTCTTCAACTTGCTTGATGCTTCTTGTTAACTCTCTGTTTGAGCTACCTTGTGACTGAGTGCGATTATCTGTTTGTGTCTAAGAGCTTGTTTGGTAAGAGTGAAGGTGGAAGGAGGGAGGGGAAGTCAGCGTGGAAATTTTTTGATACAACATCTTGGTATGAAAAGTTGGACTTGCTGACTCTTTTTCATTGGTCAAACTTCCACATTTCACAGCCTTCACCTTTTTTTTTCCCCAAAAAAAAAAAAAAAAAAAAAAAAAAAAAAAAACTAACTGTACCATATCAATCAGATAAGAATGAATTAATTGTATAACACCCTGTCACAGTTCCGTAACAAAAGGTTGAAGCTGCTATTAGATGTAATTATCTCTCTATTTATTGCATTGGAGAATTATTTTTCTTTTTTAGAATTATAAGGTATTAGGAAGAAAAAATCTAGATTGTACGATATTTCTACCAAGCTTATTGTATCATTATCACTTAATTTCATATGATGTGTCAAATCATATAAAATAACATAATTCTAGCTGCACATGTTGGACTGCTGTTTGGAATTACAGTTAATTCTAGCTGCACATGTTGGACTACCAAGTTAAATGAACCAGTTTGAAAAGCTTCCAGTGGGTGCAGATCAGGAACTAAAAGTCAAATGCAAAGAGTGTGGTGTGGTGTATATGGCTAATAGTAATAATGAGATTAGAAGCATGCGACGTCACATGCAATCATGTGTATGTAGAGACACGCGTAACGTAGGCCAACTATTGATATCGCAAGACAAAGGGACTTTAGCATTGAGTGCGAAGAGGTTTGATGCTGAACACTCTCGTGAATTGATAACAACAGCAATCATTTTGCATGACCTTCCATTCTCCTTTGTTGAATATGAAGCTGTTAGGGCGACTTACCAATATTTGCATCCTGAGATAACTTTGGTAACTAGAAATACTTTAAAGGCAGATGTCCAAACAATGTTTTCTCGGGAAAAAGCAAGAATAAAATCTATGTTAGACTTGAGCCCCGGTAGAATTTGTTTGACATCTGATTTGTGGACTTCCATAGTTGCAGATGGATATTTGTCATTAACTGCCCATTTTATTGATAAAGATTGGGTATTGCAAAAGAGGATTTTGAATTTTTGCTTCATGCCATCACCACATACTGGTATTGCATTGTCTGAAAAATTTTATGCATTATTGTGTGAGTGGGGAATTGAATACAAGGTTTTCACTCTTACTTTGGACAATGTCTCTGCTAATGATGTGTCTGTTGATCTGTTGAAAAATCAGTTGGTTGAAAACAATGCACTTATTTCTGATGGTTCTTTTTTTCATATTCGTTGTTGTGCCCGTGTTTTGAACCTTGTAGTTGAAGAGGGGTTGAAAGATATTGATTCAGTGGTTAAAAAGATTCGTGAGAGTGTGAAATATGTAAGAGGGTCCCAAATTAGAAAGAAGAAGTTTTTAGAGTGTGTAAATCTTATGGGTCTTGATTCTAAGAGAGGTTTGAGGCAAGATGTACCTACAAGATGGAGCTCAACATTCCTCATGCTTGACAGTGTCTTGTATTATCGACGAGCATTTTGTCATTTAGAATTGAGTGATTTTAATTACAAGGACTGTCTTGATCTATATGAATGGGAAAAGGCCGAGAAAATTTGTGAATTTTTGGAACCCTTTTATAATATCACTTGCGTTTTTTCGGGAGCTAAATACCCCACTGCAAACTTGTATTTTCCAACTGTGTACACATGTTATTTGTCATTGAAGTCATCTGAGAGAAGTGAAGATGCATATTTGTCTGCTATGGCAAAAGCAATGCTTACCAAGTTTGAGAAGTATTGGAAAGATTTAAGTTTGATATTGGCAATTGCGATAGTGTTTGATCCTCGTTACAAGTTGAATTTTGTAGATTATGCTTATGGCAATGTTTATGGAATGAAAGGGTCACCTCAGTTTTTAGAAGTTAAGAGAAATTTAGACTTGTTGTTTACTGAATACTCTAGGGGCAAGGTTTTTACAACAAATGTTGTGACTTCACTTCCTACTCCTATTGCGCACAAAAGTTTTTACAGAGGCAAACCAAAGTATTGAAGGTAACAGTTAGTTTATATGTTGATTTTGTTAATTTAACATTCATTGATGAATACTGATTATTCTATATTTGTCTTTTTCATCTTGTTTTATATCTTTGTGGTTGTAGGAGTTCAACAACTTTGAAAGCCAAGAGCAAAATGTTATGCAGAAATCAGAATTAGAAGTTTATTTGGATGAGCTAAGAGTACAAAGGAGTGTTGAGTTGGATGTTCTTGAATTTTGGAAAGGAAACCAGTTTCGCTATCCGGAGCTTTCTTACATGGCTCGTGAGATCCTAAGTATCCCAATATCTACTGTAGCATTTGAATCTGTCTTTAGTGTTGGAGGACGAGTATTGGATCAATATAAGAGTTCACTTAAACCTGCCATAGTTGAGGCATTGGTGTGTACTAGGGATTGGCTATTTGGAGATAAAGGTACATTTATTATTTTTTTTGTTAATTTACTGTCTTTGCTTATGTTATCTTAAGTCTTAACCATATAAGTTATCTATTATGTGTAGAAAATAACAAATCGATTTGTGAAGCTGTGGATGAAATTACTGAAGATATCAATGAGTCCCCTACTGGTTCATCTCAAAATTCCAATAACCTCAGCACCTCAAATGCAATGGAAGGTAACAAGAATTTCATTGTGGCATGCCTATGCTATAAATTTTCTTTCATTAATAAAATGTTTTCTTCTTCTATGAATAGGTTTAAGCAAATGGAAACTAATTTTCGTTTTTAGAGCGTAGTTGGACATTCAACCTCAAGGCTCATAGAAGACATTTTTCTGTATTTATTTAATGTTTTATGCACTTAAACATTCAAATGTTTGGTTATGTTTTCAAACTTATTTAAATGTACTTGGTTATGTTTTCAATCTTCTTTGGATGTTTGGTAATTGGTATGTTTTGAAACATATATACTTGATAATCTAGTAGTATCATATATATATGTGTGTGTGTGTTTGATATTTGGATATTTTAATATAGTTTTGAATACAATATAAAATTTCACTATTTTTGCTAGTCGGGTCATAAACATGTTTTTTTCGTGTCAGCTCGTCACAGCACGTTTAGTAATCGTGTTCGCGTGTCGTGTCGTGTTAATCGTGTTATTAGCGTTTCGTGTTCGTGTTTAGGTTTCTGACACGTTTATTAATCGTGTCGTGTTCGTGTTCACTATAATTGTGTTGTGTCGTAATCGTGCCGGTCCGGACACGACACACAAACACAAATTGACAGTCCTCCTTGGGTGTAGTTGGAGGGTTGCTTCCCTGATTCTCGATTGGTCGCGCACACTCGGTACGAACACAAAGCCTATAAAATGCAAAGTTCATAATTGGTCATGCATCCTATTTTAATGCTTTGTAAGATTACAATTTGTACTTAATTTTAGCTCACCTTGTTTGTGTCAATATTGTATGTAATTAATTCGGGTAAAAAAACCGTTACCTTGAAGTGGCGCACGATGATGGAAGCACAGGTTTTCAATGCCGCTTCACAAATTAATGAGTGTGTTTGGAATTGGTTCCAAAACGTTTTTATTTTCTGTACGAAAATGAAAATGAAAACGTTTTTAGTTTTATTTTTGAATTATTTTTAAAAATGCGTTTGGTAGTTTTATTTAGAGATTGATTTCAGTTTTAAAAAAAATTGAAACTGCGTTTGGTGGTTTAATTTTTGAAAACATGTAATAATATATTAAATAATAATATATTAAATAATTTTAGAAAAGAGGGAAGAAAATGAAAAAGAAAAGAAAAAAGTGAAATCCGTTTTTCAAAAAACAGAAAACGAAAACGAGAAAATGAAAACACCTTTTTTTCGTTTTCTGATTTCCACAAAAAGACAAAAACGTTTTTGGTTTTGTTTTTTAAAAAAAATTGCACCAAACACATTTTTAACACCCGTTTTCATTTTTTTGCTTTGAAAACCGTGAAAAACGAAAATGAAAACGCAAACAAACAGGCCCAATAGCTTCCGCAACCACAAATATTTTGAACTATAGATATTTAAAGTTTAGAATACTTTTACTAAAATGTTGTCTTATTAATAGTTACTTAAATGACTAACTTATGTTTAATTAAGAACATGTAATATGTTTTATCAAGACTAGTAATCGACTATGTAAATTATGAAAATGTTGTTTCGATATTAAAAAAATATTATTGCGAAATTTTGTTCTTAGGATTTCACAAATATAGTACTAGTAAATATTTAAGGAGACGTTTGTTTTCTATATTCGTCTCTGATTCTGAATCATGATTCATAGTTCTCTACAGTGTTTTTTTTTACAAAACATACACGTAAAATGAGAATGATTCTGAATCACAATTCTAAATACATAAACCAAACGTCCTCTAAATTTAAAAATAAAATTCTCTGAAATTTTAGTAACTAAGAAGCTAATCAAATTAAATTCACGTTTAATTAAATTTTACGACGGCTTAGGAAGCCAGATCGTCACAATTTATGCTCCTACTAAAATAAAATCTTAGGTCTTTAAGACTATGACCGAGGCTTTCCAGTAAAAGTTGTTTTAACAAACTACTTGCATTTTCATTATTCCACTACAAGAAGTTCAAACTTATAAAGCTGCCTTTAATTCAAACGCTACGTCCCCGGGCTTTAATATCTTCTTAGGTTCAAATAGCTTATCATTGGATACTCATTTGTTTATATTAAGGCCCCGTTCATTTCGCTGATTCGAGTTTAGAATTCGAGTTTTGTTACAGTAAAAAGCTCTCACAAACAATCACATCTAACTTTTTTGCTACAGTAAAAAGCTCTCATATAAAATCACATCTCAACTCGAATTAAAAATTCGAATCAACGAACTAAACGGGCCCTAACTAAAACTTTTAATCATTATTTAGCAAAACGAAATAAATAAAATAAAAAACTGTAATTATCATTTACACCTTTTCCAATTTCCCACCGTCTAATCCACCATTCCCAGGCATATGCTAAAGACCAGAGGGCCCAGTAAAGTGCAGGTTGTTTCCGCTCCTATAGGCTCCTATAGGCCCACCTAGGAAGCAAATACAGCAGTATGCTCCGCGGGGGACGAAATAATTAGAAATCGTTCCATTTCTTTATTTGTTTTGTTTTTGTTTTTGTTTTTAATATCTGTTATTCACTTTCTGGAACTTAAAAAATTTTGCATTTAGATTTCAAATTGTTTGTAAAATACACTAATTTGTTCACTTAGTTAAGAAAATGAGTAAAAATAAGGACAAAAAAGGATATTAGAAAGAAATCAATTGCTTGGCTTCAAAGCCAGGATGCCATGATTAGCAAAAAAAGCCAGGATGCCATGATTAGCAAAAAAAAAGTCAGGATGACATAATTGTGCTAAAAAAATATTTGTTGTTAATAAAAATGGATAAATTTTACGGAGTTCTTTCTTAACTATGTTATTTATGTCAATATGTCACTGAAATTTTAAAGTGTACATATTGTGCTCTACGATGTACAATACTTTTTTAGAGTCTATTTAGTCGGAAGGATGGATTAGTAAAAGTATGGATATGATATGAAAGAAGGAGAGTGAAAAAGAATGGATGAATTGTAATTTTCTTAAAAAGTTATTTTGTATGATAAAATGAATGATTGTTGTTATCTTTTTCTCTTATTTAGTATTGAAAAGAAGAATTTGATTCGTAAAATTACCATTACCCACGTGTTAAATAAATTCACATAATTAGTTTTTAAAAGATTTAATTTAGATGTAACAATCCATACTTTATATATTAAATATATTTCAATTGATAATTTATAGGGTTAAGTTAAATGCTTATAGTTAGTTTCATAAAACAATTGCTTCACATTATTTAAGTTTTATGAACCAGAGTATTTTACTAAAAAAGAAGTTTTTTAAAAAAAGGAAAAAAAAAAAGTTGCGTTCGATTCCAATTCGAACAAGTTTATATATATATATATATATAGCAACGTAAAACAAAAGGTTGAAACAAAATTTAAAAAAAAAAGCTTAAAATAGTTTAAACTAAAGGCTCTTTTATTTCATGTATTTAAATTCATAATTTTAATTATATAACAGTATTTTTTTCTCATAAAAAATTTAAAATTTAAATATTAAAATTAAAAATCATTAGTTTAAACTAAACAGACCCTAAAAAAAAGATGAAAGAAAATGTAAGGTTGTAATTTTAAGTTATTGATAAGTCTCTCTCTTCCTTGCCTTCCTTTCTATCCATATATGTAGACCTCGTTCATTTTACCGATTTGAGTTTTCAGTTTTAGGTTTTTACAGTAAAAAAAACTCTCAGAAAATATCACATCTAACTTTTTCTGCTATAGTGAAAATTTTTCAGAAAATGTCACATCTCAGCTCAAATTAAAAACTCGAATCTGCGAAGTTAACGAGGCCGTAAGGATCAATTTTTTGGTGGGGCCATAGAAAGACAACCACTTCCTTTTTCCTTTCCTTAGCTCTATCCTTCCTACCAAACAAAGGATGGCTACACTGTTTCCATCAAATCCTTTCCTTCCTTCCCCAAATACCCCTTACCAAACACACCTTTAAAGTAATTGTTCAAAATCAATAAAACATGAGGGAAAAAAAATGAAAAATGGACCCAAATTCAGTTGGGTTAGTTTAGGTATTAAAGAAAGTAACAAATTTGAGCTCTTCACGTATGCTACTATGTTTAAAAAATATCACATTTCAAAATTAAAAGGGTGGATTTGGAGACTTATTATATATTGGAGGCACAATAAATACATTTTAAAGTTCATATGCCATGTTCAATACAAGTGATCTAGTTCAGCCGTTCAGAAATAATTCATAAAATTTATCGTAAAAAAATAACTATGATAAGAAATAAGAAGATTATGTTTTTTTTTTCTTTTTAAATGAGGTAACTAATGTTTGGTAAATTATAAATTCAATTGTTATGATAATGTACTAATAATCAAATATTTATTTAATTTAACAAAAAAATATAAATTTTACTTTTAAATTTATTAGAAAAAGATTTACCAAGTGCTTTTAAAGAACTTACAATATGGTAAATCTAGCAAACATCTTGATAATGATTTCAAAACATTTTAATTTCAAATAACTCGTAACTATTAGGAAGCAAGTTAACTTTGTACTATTTAATTGGATTCGTTCCTTCATGTGTTCTCTCTAGTGTGCCAAAATTTATGTGAGCATTCAAAGATAATTTTCTTTTATCATTTGCAGTCAATAAGGATGGTAACGGAACGGGGTGGGGTGGGGACGGGAAACGATTTACCATCCCTATCCTTTAAAACCATCCTCATAGCCGCTCCCATCCCTACTTAAGGAGAGGTGGGGAAGAAGTCGGGGATTTCCCGTTGGGAGGCCGTTTCTCATACCCGTTCTATTCTCCATCGAATGTAATTAAGCATTTCAAAATTATTGTAACTTAAAGTAAAAATATAATGGAAATTCAATATAAATTTAGACTTTAGACCAAAATAAAAGGTTTCTTAATATAAATTAAATTCAAAATCTATGCAAAAAAAAGTTGTCAAGTTAAAAAATGTCTTATTAAAAGTAACAATTAACACATATGCAAAAAGTATATGTATATATATTTATATAAAATATATTATATTATATATAACTTATGTATATCGAGGCAGAGGCGGAAAGGGGAGTGCTTCCTCTGTCCCATCCCCGCTAAGATTTAGGGACAAGATTTTGTCCCCATTCCCATCCCCATCTCTCTGATTATTATCCTCCATTTCCATTTTATTCGGTGTGAATCTTCACGGGATCATATCCCACGGAGAATATTACCATCCCTAGCGGTCAACCCTTTAAAAGTTTTAGGAACGTTAAAATCATCAATAAGTTTCCTACTCATAAAAAAGACTACCTTCAAGTCTTCCCATGAAGCATTATCAGGAGATTGTAAATAAATCGCCATTCTTGAATCTTCAATTTTTAATTTTCACCCGCTCATTTACCATTTTTAGTACTCTTTAAATCTCGAAAGCTCCTTATACCGATCTTTAAAAGAATAAAATAATAAAAAAATGAAATGGCTAGCCTCTTCTTACTAACTATGACTAGTGTAAAATGCATTATTTAAATGACTAACTATTTGGCTGGTGATTTCAGTGGAGAAAAGCCAAGAAAAATTTAATTATTAGTCATTTTGGGTAAAAACATAAAATGGGCTAACATGATTGAATATCCTCTAAAAATAGTGATCATTGGTTTCTTTTTAATATTTACTTGACTATTAAATGATGCGATGAAAAACAATCTCATTTTCTTCTTGTGTTTAATGAATATAAAAAAGTCAATGTAATTTACTAATGTCGTTGTAAATGTTTACTAATGTCCTTCTATACAATTAAATAAGGACAAAAATCACTTTGACACCTTGTGTTATATGAAAAAAAAATCATCCAGATACCTTTTTAATATTATGAAAAAACACATGGTACTAAAATGGTTTTTTTTGAATATTTATGTATCAAAGTAATTTTATCTTATTAAATAACTATTAACTTATAAAATAAGAATTTATTAAGGCCTCGTTCACTTCGCAGATTCGAGTTTTCAATTCGAGTTGAGATGTGACATTTTTTGAGAGCTTTTCACTGCAGCAGAAAAAATTAGATGTGACATTTTCTGAGTACTTTTTACTGTAGAAACCTAAAACTGAAAACTCGAATCGGTGAAATAAATGAGGCCTAAGAGTATGTAAGTAAATTTGGATGTCATTCCCTTTAGTAATGATCACTGCCAATAAGGTATAAGAATTAATATCCCTTTTTCTCTTTTTCTATATTGTGTAGAGTACTCCATTAAACTATCACCATTAATTTGTAAATATTATACGGAAAAAAGAATTACTCCTCATTTTTCTTTTCCATTGTATGCAAAGTAAACACATCCCTAGTGTGAATGGCAACAAGAAGATAAATACAAGCATGAACTCTTATATTTTTTGCTTTCTGAAAGAAACGTTTTCTCCAAATTTTTATGAAAAAAACAAAAGAATTCTCCAATTAAGGAAAGATAAAAATCAGAAAGAAAAAACAGAAACAAAAATAAGAGAATCGCACATATGAGGTCATAATCAAGGCTGAAAATATCAATATTGATGAGTATATTGGTACTGTAGATTTAAAGAAATTATTGGAGAAAATATTGATATCAATGAAAATGTTCAGAAAAAAATTGTAAATTATGGATATTTGTCTTAAACTTTGACGTTTCTTTTTATATTTTAGGATATGATAAACATTGAAAAATACATTAAATAAATAAATTTTACATAAAACCTACAGAAATCACAATATTAAAAGAAAGTCGGCTCAATCATGATTAGAATTTCATCTTGATTCAACCAATATTAGTGCCGTGACACGTTAATTTACAAAGTGTACACATATCTTAGTGGAAAAAAATCTATTATTTAGCTAATAAAACATTGATAAAAAAAATACATTGATCGATAATATTTTTCAATCTTTCCAACATTTTTTCAATAGTTTTCAAAATTTTATAAAAAAATACACTATGACATTGTTTATTTTACAACTCAAGTTTTATTGTTTAGTGTTTTATCTCATATAAATTTAAATTTAATTTTTTTTACTGCAATATTTTTTCTCTCACATACACAACTCAAGTTGAAAACTAGGATGTTTATTTCCTGTATTCGTCCCTGATTCTGAATCATGATTCATAGTTCTCTACAGTGTTTTTCTCTCACTAAAAATACACGTAAAATAAGAATGATTCTGAATCATAATTCTAAATTTATGAATCAAACGTCTTGTAAAACAAACATAACCGATCTGTTATCAAGCAAAATTTTGTCCTTGGTCGTGATGAAAAATTCACGAGTATCAAGCAATTTCAAAAGATTTGGGTTTGTTCTTTTAGAGTTTAACTTGAATATAATTCTTGAGTTGAATTTGAGTTATAACTTGAGTTGAACTTATAACTTGAGTTTGTGTTTAGTTGTGTACATTTAAGTTACGATTTGAGATAATAATCTTTTTGAGTTTGTGTTTGAGTGAGTCAAAACTTAAATTTGTATTTAGATAATATTTTAATAAAAACTCAATGCTGATGAAAAATTTTAATATGGTATATGGGTCGGGTTTTATTCGTCTTTTCGTTGTCAACGCATAGAAAAAAAAATCATCTCAATCAGAATTAAAACGAAAAAGTTATAGCATTTTTAAGAATAGAAAAAATACTGTTCATTAATTTGAGTTCGAGTTTCTGAACTCAAGTTGAAGGGGAAACTTGAACTCGAGTTTTAGTCCTAAACTCGAGTTTGAACTCGAGTTTAAACTTAAAAGAACATGAACTCGAATAAAGTTGTAACTCGAGTTGCATTTTTTTGAGTTTTTCACTCAAAAGAACAAGGCCTTAGGCTCCGTTCACTTCGCTGATTCGAGTTTTTCTATAGTAAAAAGCTCTCACAAATAATCACATCTAATTTTTTTACTACAGTAAAAAACTCTCAGATAAAATCACATCTCAACTCAAATTCTAAACTCGAATCAGCGAAATGAACGGGCCTTGTTATTTTTTTCCCAGAAAATTAGGAGCGGGCAGTACACATTATAAAAGAACAAAAATAAAGCAATTAAATCCAAAAATAAAAAAACAAAAAGAAAACCATATCCATCCGCGCAAAAGCGAACACAGTTCAAATTGAAAACGAGCGGGTCTTATTAAAATACTCTCTTCTTCACTTATTAGTTATTACCCTCTCTCTCGCTCCAGCTTAGTCATTCAATTTTTTCAATGGACTAATTCTCTCTCTCTTTCTCTCTCTCCGTTCCAATATTTTCGAAAGAAACCTCGACTTCTACTTCCCGGTTCATGGCAGCTCGAAACGTTTCGAAAGCCCCGACGCCACCGCCAGAACCGAACGAGAACCACTTCGAAACGCCGCCACCGCCGAATCTCCTCCTCCACTGCCCGTTACCTCGTCGGTCGCCTCTCAACACCATCGCCGATCCCTCTCAGACTCCATTCGGTTCCTTCGATTCCAAGCGTCGCTTCTCCTTCTCCGATCGCCACCCGGCCACTCCTTCCAAATATGCCTCCAGAGCTTCCCTCGCCGGTCCCATTTCCGCCTCCGGAATCAGGGCTTCGCAGAGAGTTCCTAGGCCAATTTCCGTTGCCGCCGGCTCTGAATCCGAAACGACGCCGCATTTCGAGCTCCAACAGGACGAGTCTTTTTGGGCCGACCACAATGTGCAGGTTTGGATTTTTTATTTTTTATTTTTTTATTTTTGTGAAAATTCTTATCGGTGCTGTTTGGTGGATCAGGTTCTGATTAGAGTTCGGCCTCTGAGTAGGATGGAGAGAGTTTCTGGTGGTTTAGGTCGGTGTTTGAGGCAGGAAAGTGGTCAAACTCTGGTGTGGCTTGGTCATCCCGAGACCAGATTCACCTTTGATCATGTTGCATGCGACACTATATCACAGGTTCTCTTTGCCTCACATGAGTCTACTCTACCTGTGTGTTGTTGTCGTCGTTGTCATTTTATTTTATTTTATTTTTTCAATCTTTCTACAATGTGTTCAGCTGTGTAAATTTTCTTATTTGTTTTTGAATTTAGATCACTCAAAGTAAGCAAAATACTCCCTTGTCTATTGATGTGTTTATTTGTAAAATCAATAATTCAAACTAAGTGAGGCCCGCATGATTAGGGGAAAGAGAAAAGGGAACTCCAAGTTTAAGCTACTTCGTAGCTTTATTTCCTCCTCAATTGGAATAAACCACAAAATATTAGTTACATACCTTTACTAAGTTTTAAGCCAATATCGTGATTCCTATTTCTAAAATCCAAAACTTATAAATATGAGAAAAATATGAGAAACTAATGAAAAGGGAATTAGATTTTGTTTCCGTTACTTATTTTTTCATAAGCAAGTAAATAATAAAAGGGAAGTCAAACTTCTTTTTCCCATTCCTTTCCTTTTCTATCTAAAACCTTTTCACTCTCCATTTAATTCCTTTACTAATTGCCCTTAGTAGATATATTTTGCTAAATCCTACAATGTGTTGAACTGTGTAAATTTACTAAAAGGCCTTACAAGTTTATTTATTTATTTTTATTTTTATAATTGTGTATGTATACGGATCATGCAAATTAGCAAAATTACTTCTTTTACCTCCATTAAGTGGATGTGGTTGCTATGCTGATTTCATTATGATGTCGGACAGTAGTGAGAGATGAAATAGAGGAAGAGAAGTAAGAAGAAGAGGGAAATAAAAAAAATAATAGTTTGGACGAGTAAGAAAGAACCTAGAAAAGAGAACTTCAATTATATGTTTAACTTAAACAATCCAAATCTGAAAAGTCTACTTTATTAATCCTGCTTTTAGATAGGCAAGTGTAAGTAAAAAAAGGCTCATAAAAGAGCTTAACTAGAATAAAAGACAATAAAAAAAGACATATGTTATTGCTCAATGATTCTAATTGACAAGACAATCTCAAATTGCTAATTGTTATGTTCATTGTATTATATCCATACAAATAGTAATATTAGCTTAGTTTTCTTGTTTGCATAGATCTCAATTATCATGATGCTAACCTGGTGTCAAAATCAAATGTACGAGTTTGTTGTAGGAAAGCCTGTTCCGGGTTGCAGGGCTGCCCATGGTGGAGAATTGCTTGTCTGGTTATAATAGTTGTATGTTTGCTTATGGTCAGGTATATCATATACGTCCCAAGAACCAAATCTTCTGTTGTTTACAGTACGTCCTGGAATGTAAAAGTTGATATAAAAAATTGTGTAATTGCAGACAGGCAGCGGAAAAACGTATACCATGATGGGGGAGATAAATGAGATTGAAGGAAAGCTCAATGAAGATTGTGGGCTAACTCCGCGCATTTTTGAACATTTGTTTAAAAGGATTATGGCGGTAACATATTTGAATCTTCCTATCGTTGAATTTTGGAATATCGTATTTACACAAAGTCCTCCCTAGTTTCGTTTTTTGGATTTCTTACTAGATTCTGTTTGTAGGAGGAAGAAAGCAGAAGAGATGAACAGCTGAAGTATAGCTGTAAATGTTCCTTTCTAGAGATATACAACGAGCAGATAACGGATCTCTTGGAGCCTTCATCAACTAATTTGCAAGTGAGCAATGTTTTCCCTAAGAGCTCATGTTGGATTTGCCGATTAAATGTTTTTGAGCGAGATATAAACCTTACTTCGTTTTGTAGCTCCGAGAAGACTTGAAGAAAGGTGTACATGTTGAAAACCTTACAGAGTATAATGTCAGGAACGTTAATGATGTTGTAAAGCTTTTGTTGCAGGTGGGGGTTTAAGGTGTTTTGTTATATTCATCCTTCTGTTACTACCCATTAGATTATGATCATCCAAGTAAATTTCTACTTTTGCTTAGGGTGCTGCAAACAGGAAAGTGGCAGCAACATATATGAACAGTGAAAGCAGCCGATCCCACAGTGTTTTCACTTGTACCATTGAAAGCCGTTGGGGGAAGGATTCCATGACCCATTTTAGATTTGCAAGGTTGAATTTAGTAGATCTAGCTGGTTCTGAGAGGTAAATTGTTTTCTAGCTTATCTATTTATTTTTATTTTGTCACAAAAATTTGTCCAACACTTTATTTGGGCTACCTTGGTTATTTAGGCAGAAAAGCTCTGGTGCTGAAGGAGATCGTTTAAAAGAAGCAGCCAATATAAATAAATCTTTATCGACCCTTGGGTAAATGTTATACATCAAACTTTTCTTTCAGTTTATTTTCTTTCAACACGCGACAACATCACTTTCTTCACTTTTGCTTCTTTTTCTAGTACTTTAGTGTATATTGCAGAGTATTAAATTAGCCCATTCGGGAGTGAGCTGTCATTTTGTTGCTGAAAAATTTACAATTCATTCACCAATTTAACAATTCCTTCACTAGTTTTTTCTTTATTCCTTTTTATTGTTTACTCTCTGTGGCAGTAGGATATTAAACTGAAAAAAAAAAACGAAGAAAGAGTCCCTTATGTCTTTATTCTATTGAGTCAGTTTCTGCTCCAACTATGCTGCGGGGATTATTGTTTTATAAATTTGGCAAGGAAAACTGGACTAAACTTGGAAGATTAGAATTCAGAATTGTTCTGGTGAATACATTTAATGAATATGTTGACATAACATCTCTAAAATTTGATAGAGATTCTAAATTAAGATGATTTGTCCTAATTCGCCTCTTCGTTAGATATGTTCTTGTTGACATATTGATGTATCCATTTCTTCACTTACTACTAAAAATGGGACGTTTAACTTATATGAGACTTCCCGACATTCACCTATTGACCTAAGTTGTCTAGGATGTGTTCACTTTGATAAACATTTGCACATGATTGATTTAGTCATAGGTATAAACTCCTCTAAACCTACTTAGTTCTACTTCAAACACAAAACTGAAAAAGTATATGTAGTGTTCTGAACCAATTAACCTTGAACAGGTATGTCTTTTTATCTCTCTTCTCATTTCAACAAATTCCTCCGATTGGAGGGTTTTTGAGAAAAAAGAATTCTAATGGGTCCATGCTAGTTCTTTTCAAGTTTGGTGTCTTGATTGGCTTTCTTGTATTTTTCTTGTGCATTTAGCTTAGTGATAATGTCTTTGGTGGATTTAGCACATGGCAAACATAGACATGTTCCTTACCGAGATTCCAGACTTACATTTCTTCTTCAGGTTAGAGGCAAAAAACTCTGAAATATATGATAAATATGTAATATTGCAGTCTTTCAGTTTGATACTTTAAAATGAAAGAGCTTAAATGGTCCATGGGATGCAGGACTCTCTTGGTGGGAACTCAAAAACAACCATTATTGCAAATATCAGCCCGTCTATTTGGTGTGTTGATTCTTACTTGGACTTTTATCCAATTTGGCTGTTATTGAATAGTTTGTTTTTAGTTTTAAAAGAAAGATAAGTAAGCTGTGCCTTTTCATGCAGTTCTGCTAACGAAACACTCAGCACTCTGAAGTTTGCCCAGCGTGCCAAACTTATTCAGAACAATGTAATTGCTTTCTAACTAGCTGACACAACTGCACTCGAGAATACATAAATTATTTGGTATCTTTACTCTCTTCCACATTTTTTGTTCTTGCCCTTTGCTAGGCTAAAGTGAATGAAGACACATCAGGTGAGATAAATGCCCTTCAGCAGG